AAAATATAGGAAAAATCAAATATTATTTTATAAAATATATTAAATTAATTAAATTAATAAAATAATAAATTTTTTACTTGTAATTATTTAATTAATATAATTTAAAATAAAAGGAATAAATTAACAGAAAAATTAAATTTAATAAAAGGTTAATTTAAAAAAAAAGTTATAAATAATAGTTTATATTATATTTAAATAAAATTAAAATTAATTTTTAAATTAAAAAATTTAGATATAATAAATTGGTAATAAAGGATTATAATATTTAAAAAAATATTTAAATTAAAGTAATAATTTAATAATATAAAAAGTATATTATAAGATATTAGTAAAAATTTTTTAAAAAAAAATATAAATAAATAATTGGGATTTATTATAAACTAGTTATTTATAAAAGCAATTTTAAATTTATCAGTTTATTAAAAGGTGGATATACCGGTTAAAAAACTTTGTTGGAAATATAAAAAAAAAAAATAGTTAGAATTTATAAGATATAACCGATAGGTTAGAAATAAAAATCTTTTAAAAGATAATAATATAAAGGATATAATTTTATTAACTATTATTTTAATTATTATAAAATATAACCGAAATAAAATAATTATATTTAAAAATAAATTATTTAAAGATTTTTTAAATATATTTTTATTTAATTAATAAAAAATTATTTATAAAAGAAATTATAAATATAAGATAATATATATTATTATTATAATTATATTATAATTAAAAAATATATTTAAATTATAAGATATAAATAATTAAGGTTTTATTTATAGGTTGGCGTTAATTAAATTATTATTTAAAAGATAAAAGGACTTAAAATATTATTTTTTAAATAAATAATTTAAAGAAAATGTTAATAGTAAGATATAAATTATAATTATTAAAAATGTTTAAAAAATTATTAATATAAATAAAGTAGAGTTAATATTATTATTAATTAAATAAATATTTAATTATAAATTTAATGTTAATAATTTTTTAATAATATATAAGTTTAAAGTAATAATAAAAGGAAATTTATAAAAAATAAATATTTTTGGTAATATATATGTAATTATTTTAATAATTAAAATGTTTAAGATTATAATAATTATTATAGTAAAATTTAATTTAAAGATTATTTAATATGACGTAAAAAACGTTTTTATTTATATGTTATATAAAAATGGTAGATTTATATATATATAATTATTAAATGGATATAAATAATTAAATAAATGTATATAATTAAAATAAGTGTTATATGGATTAAAGGACGTTTTTTTTTTATAATATAATAAAATATTGAAGATTTTAATAAATATTAAAATAGTAATTTTTATTAAAAAGTCATATTTATTTTATTTTTTAAATAAATTAATATATATATTGGTTTATGTTAATAATATATTAATAATATATTATAAAATATATTAAAAAGTAGTTAAAAAAGTGGTTAATTTTATAAAAAACGTTTAAAAAATGAAAGAGTAGGGATTAATAAATTAATATTTAAGTATTAAAATAATATATAATTGTAAATAAAAAATAATTATTTTTAATTATAAAATATATATTAAAAAAATAATTTAAAAATATAATTTAGTTAATTTATTATATAATCTAATAATTTTGATAATTATAATAGAATTATTTAAGTATAATAAAGTAATTAATAAAAAGATTATTAAAAAATATTAAAAAAAAATTAATTTAATATTATATATAGTTATAATAATTTATTTAAAAGTAATTTATATAATATTATAATTTTTTTATTATTTTATTAATTTAAGATCTTAATATTTAAAAATAATTAATTAAATTATTAAGTATTTATATATTAAATAAAGATTTTATATTAAATATAAAAGTAAAAATTTAGGTTTTAAAATATTATTTATAATTAAAAATATATTATTTATTAATAATAATATAATAAAATATTTTTTTTATAGTTATATTATTTTATTATTTAATAAATTAATAATATGGAAGGTAATATAATAAATAATTATATTAATTTTTATTATAAAAACCAAATTAATAATTATAAAAAAAATTGCAAAAAAAATTATTATATTTTAATATTTATTTAAAAATATTAAATTAAATATAAATAAATAATAAAGAATTTTTAATAATAATTAATAAATAATATAGTTAATAATTAAAAAAAAAAAATAGATTAATATAAAATTATAATATATTAATATTTAAAATATATGGTTATGTTAAGAATATATTAAAGGTATATTTAACGTAATTTATTTATTTATTAATTAAATATTAATTAATAGTTTAATAAAAAATTTTATAAAATAATAATTTAAATATTTTAAGGTATTTTTAAATTTATAATATAATATTATTATTAATTAATAATATGGAAACATTAAAAATATTATAATAATTTTTTATTACATTTTTAATTTTATATTAATATTATAAATTAATAATTATAAAAATAATAAAAAAACTATATTAATATTTATTAAAATAATTATTTAAATATTAATTAAATTTTATTATAAAATTATTAAATTAAGAATAATTAATATTACCAATAATAAATTATTTAATTATTTAAATTAATTTATTAAATAAAAAATAAATAAACTTTAACCATAATTATATAATAAAATAAAAATAACCAAATAAAGTATAAAATTAAAATAAAAAATTACGCTTATAAATATTATTATATAATTTTTCTTTAATATTATTAACGTTATTATTATATTAAATTTTAAAATTATTATTATTATTTACAAAGTTAATTATTAGACCAATTACTTTATTTATACCTTTGTTAAATATTTCCAATTTTTTCTTAAATTTTATATTTATATCCATATTATTTTTATTTTTTTTAATAAAATTATTTAAACCAGAATTTATTTAAACTTTATTATTTTCTATAATTTTACTATTAATACCTTTTTTTATTATACCATTATTTTTATAACTATTAATATCAAAAATTTATCTAATTTATTATAAAAATCCTTTTTATTTTACATATCTTACGCCACCACCTTTTTATTTATTATAATAATTTTCCTATTAATACGCAAATATTCTTAAACCACTAAATTTTTTATCGTTTTTTAAAACATTAAATAAAAACTATCCGTTATTAAAATTTATTTAACCTTTTTTTTTAACTTTTTTATTTAAATTTATCCATAATATTAATTTATACTAAAAAAATATATTTAATATATCTTTATCCAAATATAACTTTATTTATAAGCTTAAATAAATATAATTATTTAAATAATAATTAAATAAAAATTAAAAAATTAATTAATATTATAAATAAAAATAAAATAAAATAATTTATATAAATTTATAATTATAATTATTATAAACGCAAATAAAATATTTATTTAAATTATTTATATAATTATAACAATTAAAATTTAACTTATAAATAAAAAAAAAACTATAAAAATAATAAAAATAATATATATCCCTTAAAATAATACATATAAAATTAATATATTATTAAAAAATAAAAATTATAAATTTAATAAAACCATTAATTAAAGTAAAAAATTAACGCTTTAATAAAAAATTAACAAAAAATAACCAATAATATAAATAATTATTAAATATAAAAAATAACATTATAATTATTATATAATAATTATACCTTATATATATTATATAAAAATTAAAAAATATAACTTACTTAACAAACTAACCAAAATAACTAAAATAAATAAAATAGCATAACATTTTTTAATATAAATTTTATAAAAATTACTTTTAATACAATATTTCTTACCGCATCAAATAAAACTTAATATTAATAAAACGTTAAAATTAAAATTATTATAAATAACTATTATATTAATTACTTAAAAAACAAAAATCTTAAAAACCAAATTAAAAATTAAATAAAAGATAATAAAAATATAAAAAACAAAAAAGCTTAATTTTAAACAAAAGCCAATAAAACATACATAATAAACATTAATAATATTAAAAATTTAAACTTATTAAATTTTATTATAATAAAATATAATAAATAAATATACCAATAAATAAAATTACAAAAAAATAAAATTATAATTAAAATAAAAAATCAAATTTAAAAAATTATATTACATTAAAAAAAAACTTAAAAAAAAAAGCCAAAAAAATAAGTTAAAAAAACCTTTTATTTATATAAACCTCTTTTATTAAACTATTTTAAAACTATTATTACAACAATATAAATAATAATTACAATAAAAAAAATAATTTAATATATTGTTAAAATATTAACATAAATCCCAAACAATACATATAAACTTACTTATTAAATTTATTTCTTTTATTATACACTGTAATAATTATTACCCAACCCATTTTTAAAACAAATTATTACTTATATACGCAACTTTTAATAACGCTAACAAACTTAAAAATATAACATATTACTTTTATTTAAAAAATATATCGCATAAAATAAATAACCATAATTATAACATAACCATTACAATAATTATAAAAAACTATAACATTAACCATAATTATTATATAATTAATTAATTATATAAAAATTACGTTATACGCAATTATATTTTAAATAACTTAAACCTTTATATACCATTTATAATTACCATATATTATTTATGATATTACCATAACTTTTAACAAAAATATATTAAAAATTTAAAATATTAACCTTTTAAAAAAAAGTAAAAATCAAGCCTAAAAAATCAAATAAAAAATCGATATAAAAAAATTATAAAAAACAAAACTTTAATATTAACCATTAAACCAATTTTTTAATTAAAACTTATAAAATTAATAAACTTAAAATTAAACCAATTAATAAATAATAATCGTTAATTAAAAAATATTAAACCTTTAAAAATAAGATTTAATATTATAATTATTATATATTATTAATACTATTATTAATATTAGCAATATTATGTAAATTAAAGCTTACTACGTCTTATACTCTTAAAAAAGTTACGAAACAAAGCTTACGCTCCGTTCGCTTAAACGTTAAATAGAATAATAATAACAATAACAACAACAAACGACGAGAAAGAGAGAAACACGCATTTCAACATTGAACTCCGGACATCCTATATTCGAAGAATCATAGAGAAACTCCAATATACAGCCCTAGACCCCGTAACTCGGGAAATATTTACGAACCTCCATGGGAAAATAGCAACTTATAAATGTTTTAAACCATGGTGCGATTCTTTTGCAACTGGATACGAAAGCAGCGACGATCGCAAGCGACATATCGATCGCCACGATCTTCCCTTTTGCTGCGCCTTGGAAGGATGCCCTACATATCTACTTGGATTCGATACTCAATCAAAACTAGATCGACATATAAAACTTTATCACCATAAGACGGATAGTAAATTAGAATTCCCGGAGCCAGACCCCCAAAAACCCCTAACCCTTCGACAAGTTATTAAACGAGGAGACTTGACTGAATTTGTGTCATATCTGAGTTCCGGAGCGGACATCAATATTCTGCGGGCAAAAACTCCTCAGAGAGGTGCCCCTCTCAACGCCGCGGCAGATGATGGTCACTTCGAAATTTGCGAGTGGTTGCTTCAGAACGGCGCTGATATTAACACTACTGGGTTCAAGGGGAGAACTCCATTGCATTCCGCTGTGCTTAAAGGACATATTGAGATCGTTCGTTTCCTTCTTAGCCAGGAGGAATGTCTAGTCAATGAAGTCGACAACAACGGCATGTCACCGTTTCTAATCGCGTGTGAAATGGGTAACTTAGCCATTGTCAAGTTGCTGGCTGAAACAGGCAAAGTCCAAACTGATCGACACCCTTATGGGTTACCGCCACTTGGCTATGCCAGTAAAAATGGCCATCTTCCTACTGTTCTATATCTTCTACGGGAGATGCAACGTGGTCCGGTTACAAGAGAAATCCTAGCAGCTACTATTTTGAACGGACATAAATCTGTTGCTGAAGCATTGTTGCCTGCAATTGCGAGTTCATCCCAGGATAGCTCTCTGGATAGACCATACGATAGTGGCTTTCCACCAGATCGCGTAAAGCTAGGACCCGACCGGTTCGTCATATTCAATCAGCATATCTCCCGCTTGCTTGATGTGGATTTTATTCCTATGCCTGGTATCTCCGGAGTTAAATCCATCACGTTCAGCCACTGTGGCAGATATATTGCTTTAGCTCGACCTCATGGGATTGAAATATACGATATTATCAAGATGGAACGTACTGCAAACTCAAAGCATGATGGTATTCGGGGTCATAAAGACATTATGTCTTTCAGCCCTGATGGAAAATACCTCGTCGCAGTCACGGCGGCACAATTCTCATCAGTTTCTGTAAGTTATCATATTCCTTATAGTTAAATGACATTCTGACCAGATTAGATATGGGATATGACGGACAAAACACATCACAGAACATTTGAAATTACACACGGCTCTGTCAGGTCAATCCATTTTCGAAAGGACGGACGCATATTTCTTATTATTGTCATGGACAGTTCCATCGAACTTTGGGATGTTGAGAACGGTTTTGCAGAAATAACCTTCAGTCTGGACGTTTCTGTTAATAAAGCTTCTATATCCTCAAATGGCAAATACTTGGGGGCAGAAAGTAGAGATGGCACAGTCTGCATCTGGAATATATCTACAAGAGAGGTCCTAAAACGCTTTGAGAGAAGCAATCCGTATGATAGGTATACAGCCTCCCCTATTACCTTCTCTCCGAAGGATGAGAATACATTTTGCTATAGTACGACGGAAGGACCCCAGCTGGGTAAGGTTGAAGGAGGTCCGTGTACTCAGTGTACTTCAAAATGCAAAAACCCGAATGTAAGTCTCTCAAAATGGCGGGCAAGATTATATACTATGCTAAAACCTAACAGGGTAAAGCGAACGTTTTTGCTTTCACGTCTGATTCTAATCTTCTTATATTCGATAAAAAACGTAATATTACAGAGTTCCTCGATACGCAATCTGGCCTATCTCACTTCATACTCCAAGGTAAGGGCAAGTCACTTTTTGGCACACGAATTGGAATTGCTTCAAGCCCAACCCAGAGATTATTTGCAATTTATGATAATGATGAGGTTTCACTCTGCTCATATAGATACCTAGGTACCTAGATAGGTAGCTATACTGAGTTAGTTCCGCATTGTATTTTATCTCATTTTTAATTTGAATTAACTACACGTCACGTAAAAGAGGGTGGTTGAAGGAATAGTCAAAGGTCACCTGCTATTAGCAAAAATCTAGACCTTTGACAACTATCTACTCTGAGAGAATTTAGCATGAGATAATCGTCTCTGTAAATTCTTAAGTGCATAATTAATTTAGTATATTCGTATTTAATTCGTCTAGAAATGTTACCATGCAACCTTGAAATAACACGCACTTAATCGACTCTTGTCAGACATAAATGTCTGTCCGACATATAAAATGTAATAGAATAAAATCTGTTACCAAATAACCTTTTAGTGGTATAGCGGTTGTTCAACAACTCTTGGTGGAAATGCCTAGAATTGATGCAACGCTAAAGATCTAATCTCTTTACTACTACCTTACGAGATCTTAGCAGACAACAAGGTACTCTAGGCATCCAACCATTAGCTAGCTAAACAAGGCGTCTCTTTACCAGAAAATCCTCATGGACGTCTTACTTTCGCTGTAGCTCTTCGTATATGGTTCATAAAACCGACTACTCAGTTCCGAACAGCATATATTCCCATATCATAGATTTCGATATACCTAAAGCTTTAAATCCTAAATCTAAGAGATATTAATGATTTATAGTAATTTAGTTCATATTTGACTATTACAACTCATACCCGGCATCATATAGGTACCTAGGTAAGTATTTTAACAGTTTGCTTCTTTTTATAAGCACCTCATTTACATACCTAATATATTAGTATAAGTAGTTAAGTAGTTTCCAGGTGTTAGAAATATATTAAAAATAATAGCCAGCACTATGCAAAAGTAAAATCGTAGTCTTTGAAATATACCACATATTTATCAAATTTGTAATAACTTACTACATGGAGATGTATGATGATTTAAGATTGGTATCCCCGATTCCCATCTACTGAATCCCCCGGCCAATTCATCCCATTCGCCGAGGCCACCCAATTATTCCAATCAACCTTGCCGTCCAAGTCTACGTTCAGATCCGCCGCCTCCAAATCCATATCGGCAAATACGTCAACCGACGGGTCCGCATCAGCCCATAGCCAAGCTCCGAAGCCTGGTCCCAAGTCCATAGACGCCGAAGATAACCCGTAGGCTGGACCAGCCGACCGAGTCCCCGGTGTAGCTGAGATATGAGGATTCTGTTGAAAGCCAAAGTTCGGCTCGGGGAAACTCCCGCTGGAAATATCTGGCGGAAAAGCTCCGCTCCCCTGCGGTAATCTAGACTGGGGATAAGTGAACCCGGGTTGGGGTACTGAGGCGCCCGGATCATACGAAGAAGCAGAGCCGAAACCCGGTCCGCTAGTTTCAGCAGAATAGGTAACACTAGGTGGTACTAGAACCCCTCTACTGAGCTGAACAACCGTCTGCGTATAGTCCCCCAGACTTTGTGGCACGGTTACGAGCTGGCGCCAGCGCTCACGGAAAGTCTCGGCGCTATCGGGGCCCGGAAACGGGCCCGAGCTACTCGGTTGAGTAGCACCCCGGTCCTCCGTCTCCAACTGCCGTGCTGCCTGCAGGTTAGACCGAAGCCGCTCAATCTCGACTTCGCGGTGTCGGCGGGCCTTAGCCATAAGTTTTCGGAGAGGGACCCAGAAGCGCAAGTCCTTATCAGTGCTGCTACGAGCGGGAATAAGCCAGTTGCTATGGAGCGCGACCCATGCGCGTTCGACGAGAGGCGACCAGGGGCGCCGTGTCACTTCGATTAGGAGGTAGACGACGGCATACCAATGCGTGTACGTTTGGTAAATCCAACGCCATTGGCGACAGGCCCGTTCAGCGTTGAGCGCGTGATTATACTCGGCTACTTCGATCGCAGCTATGAATAGTCTGTTGCGCATCTCGTCGGAAGCATGCTCGCTTTGGGACGAGAAGAGCACTGGGAAGTAGACTATTAGACTCATCTTGGCCATTACAAGCCGTGCGATAACGACAACAACCCAGTATGTGACGTTTCCCTCTGCGTTAGAGTATTGGAGGTATGTTTTCTCTAGCCTCCCGTAGTACTCGTTCAGTAGGCGATCCTGGACATCTATCTGCGGCACCCCATCTTTAAGACTCACAGCCATCATTTCCCTCGTTACTTCGCACTGAGAGCTGGTCATGAGAGAGAAGGTCATATCGGTTATACCCTCTCTCTCCTTAGGCATTTCCTTTGTTTCGGGGTCGATGTCATCATTGTTAATATTCAGGGGCTGTCGCGTGTCGAAACTGCCGGGGGTGATGGTGAGGTCCATGCCTTGGTCTTCAGAGGCCCTCACATCAAGGAGGCACACGTGCCACCATAGTCTTCGTCGCATTTCGGCTTCAAAGGGTGTAAGGTGAGGGAAACGGCTACCATCACGATGTAATCCTAGAGCTAGAGCCATCCTAATGACAAGTCCTGTCATCATGTACACAAACCTCGGGCTATCATATCGGCGAGCTAAACATAAGAATATAGCAAACGCCTGTATAAGAACTATGTCGGGAACATTTAGAAAGTCTGCTTTTGCAAGCGCATACTCTAATCCCAGACGGTACTTTAGGTTAAGTTCGGATTTAGAAGAACCGAGATTAGCTACGACCTGTAGAACACACGATACATGAGTATTTATTAGGTAGTTACAAGTAAATAGTTTAATGAGAAGCTTACATCTTCCTCCTCCATCGAGGTTATGGCAGAATAATATATAGCAAACATTAGAGCCTCGTTGACCGGTGTGAGAATCGATGGGCCACTGTCTTGCAGACTCTGTACCATCTTATTCAAGGTAGGCATATGAACCACCTGGGTTAGAATATTGACGTTCTGATAGAAGACGTCCACAATAAATGGGATCTGGGATAGCGGCGGGTGAAACTCGCGAATATTAGGTCCATGGGAGCTAAGATTGTGGCCGAACAGAAACGCGTGGCGTTGCGAGGGCGTCCTATCTAGTTCCTGGGTAGACGGGGTCTTGCTAAGTGAATCCTCGTCCTCGGAACTATCGTAGTCTCCACTAGCCAGACCCAGAGTTTCCATTTTAAGACCATCGAGCTATTTCAGACATCAGCAACTCGAATTCGAAGAGCTTCAATAGTTGGTATGGTCTGTCTTGCCTTACCTCGTCATTAACCCGCGACCAGAAGCCGTTGCTTACGTAGTGACTCTGACCAGCATCCCCGAGAACAAGTCTACCAAACTGCTTCGATAGATTAGAAGTATTTGTAACAGGGGGCGAAGCCGTATGGCGATCTGCCTCATGGTCACGGCTCGAACTCCCCGGCGAGTTTGCCGAAGGTGAGCCATGGCTACTGGTATTTGCAGCGCTGTGCGCTTGCTCCAACTGACTACTAAGTTCTTTCACAAGGCCTTCGAGGTTTCGAAGCCTATCCATAATTTGACTGACACCCGGGCCGGCTTCTTGCTCAGCCTTAGCATTGTTCGCAATGCCCTCCAGTCGACGAGCCCATCGCGGGGGCTTGTCGGAGGAAGGAAAAACGCAGGGGATTCTTGCGCGGCGGCAATTTGAACATGGTGACGTCTTGTCACATCGCACCTTTCGCGTGCGGCATGTGACACAACTGCGTGGCTTTGGCCCAGGTGTCGCGGACGTTCCTAGAGAGGTGCCGGGTCGGGAAGCGTTCGCGTTTATTTCGGGGGATGGACCCGCGCCAAGGCCAGTCGACGCTAACCCCCCTGGAGCTTCCCGGGTAGCTGTCGCATATTTGATGGTCGGGACGTGCGACATAGGTGTCTATTTTGCTACGGATTACGGAATACGCTACGATGAATCAGCTCTTCGGCCAGACTTTCATGTAGTCTTTTCTTACATGTCTATAAATTTAGGTGTATTGTTCATGTAAACGAATTAGTCACGAAACCAAAAAGGGGTGGCTTCCGTCAGCGTCAGCGCCGAATAGAGGCTAGCACCCGGGCGCAAGTGTGCCAAGCCGGGGCAATTGCGCCCCGAGTTACCCGCACCTGCTCCGAGAACTTCGCGAGAACTTCCCAGTGCCTGAATAGTCTCATCCTATGGAATAAACACGTAAGCATCTGAGCAACTCGAGGAGTCATTGAGAATTGAGAAGTAGGTATAATAAAGATAAAATGTATGTGATAGACCCGTCCAATGTTGTCAGTTGTATAGGACACTTCGATAGCCAACATCAATAGCAGCAACTTCGTATTAACCGCTCTTATACAAAGTCACTACCCATACAGCTAAAACTACTGCTGCACTTTAAACCTAATATTTTACTCATTATTCACCAACCCGGACCATGGCTTCTAAGACAGTTGCTTTCTTCGGCGCAAGCACGGGTATAGGTCTTTCAGCGCTGAAGCATTCTCTCGCTGCCGGTTATCAATGCGTCGCGCTCTGCCGGGACCCGTCCAAGCTTACCTCAGTATTGACAAGTGAAAATGCGCCCAACCTTAAAGTCGTACAAGGAAACGCGCATGATTCCGCGGCTGTCACTCGCTGTCTCGAGGCTGCGGACGGTAAACTTGTTGATGAGGTAGTTTTCACTATCGGAGGAAAGCCCATCCCGTCAAAAATGACTATTGACGATCCACATGTCTGCGAGAAAGGCATTGCAACTGTTCTTGATTCCATCGCCACACTCAGAGAGCAAGGTGTCATCGGTAGACCACACATCATCGTATGCAGTAGTGCCGGCATGTCCAAGTTCGGGCGGGACATACCTGTCGCCTACGTCCCATTATGCTCCCTCCTTCTCAAGGTCCCTGGCGCGGACAAGAAAATCATGGAGAACAAGCTCGCCACGAGTGGTGAAGACTTCACCGTCGTGCGGGCGGCTATGCTCCTTATCGATGGCGAGACAGATAAGCCAATCCGTGTTGGCATCGAAGACCCGAAAACCGGGATTGAATCCAAAGCTATTGGATATAGCATCTCGAGGGAGGATGCGGGAAAGTGGATAGCACAGAATCTCGTAATAGAGAAAAACCAGAAATATTTTAACAAGACCGCGACGATAGTTTATTAGAGGATGACTTGGAGTCGGCAAGCAATGTGTATATAGTTGTACAGAATTTTTTTGAGTGTTTGTATGTCAGCAAAGGACGGAAGTTAGAATACCTGTAACCTGGTTGCGTTGCATTTAAAGAAACGGATGATTATAATAGATTTTGGGGCTTTCATATACCTTCATACCTACGAAAGTACCTATAAGCACATGTGGAATAAAACGTTGAAAGTGACTATATTCAAAACTTTGCATCGTGGGATCTTGACAATGGGGTGTGGATGTAGTAACGAAGGCAAGTGGGAGAACCCAGAAAATATGAGCACACCCCGAATCTCACAGCCATTCTCGTGATGAAAACTTTCAAAATTAGACATGTTAGCTAATATATTATGTAGGTACCTAATATAATATTATAAGCTCTATATTTGCTTAAAATGCCCCTTAGAGATACATAGAGTTAAGATGTTAATATTCGATCAAACCCTCATACCTACCTAACGTAGGTACCTAACCTTAAACTCTAACAGACAAGCCACATTCGCACCGCCACATCTGATAAGATCTCTCATAAAAGCGGAACTAAACGCGCTAAAATCCCATCAATTGATGTCGTCACTTATTCGTTCCCGACTATCGGTGGCGTCGCTTCGCAGCATCAAACTTATACATCTTCACATACTTCCTACATTCAATTATCCTTCCTAATTCTCCAAACCACCCAACCTTTTCAACATCTCATACCTAAAAACACTCCGGACGCCCTCTCAGGACTAGAGCGGCATCGGTTCGGGATGAGGCATGACATTCCGCTGCGCAGTGTCCGGGACCACTTTGGCCGCTCACGCAGTTTGCCCGCGCCGATATCTGCTATACGCCTCTTTTCTCGTAGCACCGACTGCCAGCTCGACGGCCAAGCAGCAGCAGAAGCCGTTCCACAGCACCGCGGGCCTCCGAGATGAGCAGATCGACAACTCCCGGAACCACTATGAGACGCTGAAACTGCAGCCGGGCGCAACGCCTGCTGATATTAAAAAGTGAGCATTTCCAATTCTTGTCCCTACCAGGTACATATATCCCATTATAGCCTGGAATAGCCTGGAATAAGCTACTCCCTACCATATCTACCCAACACATACCCCCCCAACTCTCTAACATACACACAGGTCCTTCTACGCCCTCTCCAAATCCCACCACCCCGACCACCACCCCTCCAACCCGCACGCCTCCCGGCGCTTCATGCGCATCAGCGAGGCCTACTCCATACTCTCGATCCCCGCCAAGCGCGCCGCCTACGACCGGGACACATTGCGCCTACACCACCCTTCCTCCCCTTCCTCCCCTTCCTCTCACCCCCACCACCGCGGCTCCTACAGCAGCACCAACCCCGCCGGCGGTCGCCCCGCCTCGGGCCTAAGCCGCCGCCGCGGCACATACCAAGGCCCGCCACCGAGTTTCTTTCGGAGCGGCGGTTGGGGCGCCCACGGCGCCAAGCGCCGCGCCGCGCATGATGAGAGCACAGGGTCCTCTTCTTCTACGTCTCACACCTCATCTTCTTCCACTTCTCATGCCTCCTCCGCAAGTACAAACTCCTTCGGTGCAGGGGGCATGGGACCAGGCCAAACGCCCTTTGGCCGCGGCGCCGAAGACGACGTCCCGCACTTCGACCGGGTATCCCATGAGCGCACGGGCCGGCATATCGATAGTCGGCGAGCGGTGCGGCGCGCGCACCTCGACAGTCAGTACATCAACATCGAGCCGGAGCGAAGCACCGCCGGCATGTTCTTCCTAATCGGCGGTGTGCTGATGCTGAGCGTGTTGGGTCCGTTCGCGGTCACCAGGATATGGAATCGGGGTAGTGGGGGCGGGGACAAAAAGTTGGAGAGAAAGGGGAAATAGGATTCGTTAATTCGGCGGCGCAGTAGAATCAACCGCCGGCATTTACTATACGTCACAGGGAGCAAATTTTTGAAGAAGTATGCAGAGACAAAGAAATCTCCCATAATTACAGAAGCGCAAAGAATTCTGTATATTCAGAACGATGCAAATATTAGCACTTGGACGGCATCGAACGTCCAAGAGGTCTAATGTCTACAATTGAGATATTTTGACTCGTATGCGAAGAATCCTGCTTGTTTTGTAAAGCATACAAATAATGACGAGAGGGTATTGGGCATGATTCCCGGGAATTCGTCTACAAAAGTCCGAAACACTCCTTTAGCTTTAGGCTAACCAATTTAGCTCTCGAAGGTGAAGCTGGCGCCGACCTATTCCTCTGTTAGATTTTGAGAACTATAACTAAGTGCCAGTGATACGAACCTTGTGGGTGGCCTGCTCGAGCTTCTGGGTGTCGAAAGAAGCGCCGAGACCTAGGGTAACGCCAGGGCGAAGAAGAACGTTGTAGGAGACAGCGGCAACGCCACGGTCGTTGATCTTGGCCTAATTTTATTTCATTAGCAATTTCCTTAAGTTACCGAGCCCAGTTGGGTCGAGAATTGAACAGACCTTGGCGAAGGAGACGGGGTCAAGACGGTACTTGCTGGCAACCTCAAGACCGACAGCGCTTCCGCTCTTGGAGTTCCAGGTAGCCTTGGCACCAGCCTCGACCTGGCTGTTCACTTTGTGGTAGTAGCTGGCCGCAAAGACGCTCAGGTTGTCAGTGGCAGTGATGGCAGCGCTGTACTGAGGAGCAATGTAGCCAACGGCGGCGCTGTAGCCGGTAACAGCAGCCTTTTGGACATCATATCCAGCCGAGGCACCAGCAAGGAAACCTTCGTGACCGATAACGGCGTCGACGTTGGCAGTGGGGCCCTTGAGGAGGTCGAAGAAGGCACGGCCGTGGAAAGCGGATTGCTTGAATGTAAGGTTGAGCTTAACACCCTTGTTTTGGGTGGCGGGTAGGAAAGAGAAGATGGACTCGGCCTTCAGTCCCTTGGCGAGGGTATCGGCGAGCTCAACCTTGGTGTCGAGGGCGTTGGCCGTGTTCCAGGTCTGAGTCAGAGTGAGGCCTGCGCGTCGGTATAGCATTAGTAATTGTGAGCCATGTTGACTTAGGAAGATAGAGAAATCGAGAGGCCAGGTTGGAGCTTTTATTCCCCACAACGATACTGTAAGCGAACTCGCTTGGCGTCTTTTGGTGTGCGACTTGATGGTCTGACTGGGAAAAATAGTGGTTGAATTACCGAGAGACTTGTCTGTGTATTTGCCTTCGATCTGCAAGCGCGTTTGTTAGTCTTAAGTGTACTTTGTCGCGGGATTATCCCCATAGCTTGTACGTAGGAATTGTCTTCTGTCGGTAGCTAGCTGACGAGGAGAGGTTGGACTGAGAATACGTACGGCACCGCTGGTAGCCTTCTCGTGGCTGCTCTTGCCAGTGACCTTGAAGGCGACATTGTTGGGAGTGTTGCTTTTAACCTCGATGGTTCCCGCGGAGAGGTGGTAGAAGTCCTTGTTCAGCAACTATAATTGTTATGATTAGAACGTCTTCGCAACAAAACCGAAGTTCGAGCTGCGGGAAATTTGTCGAATATTCGGCGGCAACAGCCGAAGTGGGACAGCTTCGGCGTCGGAGCCGTTTGCTTTTTTTATTTACTCACGTCATTTGCCGACTTGGAAATATCAGCGAAGGCGGGGATAGACATCTTGGGCAGATTGGTTCACGGTGCGAGTATTTGTGGTTGAGTTAAAGGTTGGGTTGTGGGAAAAGAAGAAAAAGATTTGTGGATGTGGATGTGGAATTGGTACAAGATAAATTCGGATTGGAAGAACGCAGGCCTCAACAACTTCGTAGGACAGCAGCGAGGTACAAATTTGTTTTCTTTGGCTCTTTCCTTGCCGGGTTCTTATCGGCACCCAAACTTAGTAGATTGCAACTAGACGGGGAACATGAAGCTAATTGGAGAAGTGACAGCCGGCAGAATGCAGAATGATAAACCGTGACACCTGGCAGTCCCAGTAAACATCGACTTTACATTCAGATTTACTGCCCAATTAACCCCTGTCCACGTGGGAATTGTCTACACCGGGAGTGGTTTAAAGCACCATAACCGTGAGATTACAACCAGGATCAGTTCAATACTCTACTACTATGTATGTATGAGTTGCAGTAGTTTCTTTGAGCTGTCATACTGCATCACAAATGTCAAGAATTCATCTGATTTATTTTCGTCCCGAAGAAAATCAACAGCTTAGTTTTTCTAGTGCACATTCAAGTGAAGAACCTATTTTACAAGTTACAGGATTGTAATAAGACGAATATGCTGCTGGCAAGGCAAATTTCTATTGGTATTGTCACAGCCAAAGTCTATCTTCACACCCCTACCAAAAGACCAACCAGTCTTAGTCTCATCATACTTGCTTAGGATTCCCCATAATGGTGCAATTCGTGCAATTCAACATCGCTAGTCGTGCGATTCTATCCCCAGTAAATTGCCCCTCTTATCTAGACTAGTTATTGAAGCCTCAAACTATGCGTCTCTGCTTTGTTTCATGCCATTTACCTAACATAGCAGGGCCATATTTATGCCGATTTGTTATACTTGGCGACGTGCGTCGCGATAGCTCTACATTTTATATTAGTACCTAACAGCTTTGATTGATATAGAACTATGACAACTTACCGTCCGCTAGGATCGGTCTGCTTTGACCATGTCGGGGTCCATCGCATCACAGTGGAAGCGCAGTGAGGAGGGAAATGCTCGTCGAACATCATACGGTACCAGTAACTTTATCAGGAAATTAGCAAGATCCAACGTAAGACATAGAAGAAGGAAAACATACGCCTCCTTGGTATCGGGAATATCGTTGCCCCACTCAGGCTTGGGGTTCTTCATCATCTCATCGGTGACATGAAGTTCGGCGTTATCCTTTAGAGCATCGATCCAACCATAGCCAACACCATCAGAGAATTGTTCCTTCTGTCTCCAAAGGATCTCGTCGGGTAAGTACGGCTCGGCGCTGGGATCATCAGAAGTATCGAACGCTTTCCTCAGAATCCATTTCTCGATTCGGTCTTTAGTAATCATCTTCTCCTGGGGGTCGATGTTCATGCAGACTTCGAGGAACTATAAACTACGTTAATAAAAGCGCAGACAATGGTGACAGATGGACGGCCATGATAAACATACCTGCTTGTCAAGGAAGGGGACACGAGCCTCGAGACCCCAAGCTGAAGTAGACTTGTTGGCTCGTAGGCAATCCGCAAGATGGAGGTTCTTGACTCGGCGGACGGTCTCTTCGTGGAAAGCCTTCTTATCCGGCGCTGCATGGAAGTAGAGGTATCCTCCGAAAATCTCATCACTTCCTTCGCCACTAAGCACCATCTTAATCCCCATGGCCTTAATCTTTCGCGATAGCAGGTACATAGGCGTCGAGGCACGGATTGTCGTCACGTCGTACGTCTCGAGATGGTAGATGACATCAGACAATGCGTTAAGACCATCCTCGATAGTGAAGGTCATGACATGATGTTTTGTGCCGAGGAACTTGGCTACCTTGACGGCAGCTTCATTGTCGGGGGAGCCGGGTAAACCGATAGAGAAAGAGTTGAGTTGTGGGAGGTATGTTACGGTAGAGAGCTTGTTCTCATCGTCGATACCGACCAAGCCCTCACCCTTGTCAGGGTCTTCAGTCGGCTCGGTAGCGGTGCCATTAGCGGCGGCCAATGCCGCCTTCTTGAGCCTCAGAGTTTCTCTTTGGGCAATGGATGCAACCAAACTCGAGTCAAGACCGCCTGACAATAGTACACCATAAGGAACTTCGGCCATGAGCCGTTTCCTCACAGATTTCTCTAGTGTTTCCCGAACGAGCTTCAGGTCCAGGGGAGTATCTGGGATTTTTGACTCATCCCACCAAGTCGGCTGGAAATATCGAGTGGTCTCGTTGGTTTTGGTGTCGTAGATGTGTCCCGGCGGAAAGGTGCGAATCTTATCGCAGACGGAGTGCAGGCATTTCAGCTCCGAAGCGAAGTAGGTAGTACCCGGCTCCTTAGAGGACCAACCTTGGTATAGCGTAGTGATACCGATGGGGTCGCGGGCCGCGATGGTTCGGTCGAGGGTTTTGTCGTACAGTACAAATGAGAACATACCATCCAAGTACTTGGGAGCGTCGAGTCCATATTCCATGTACTACAGGCGCGTTAGATAATGTGACATCATAAGACACAATACATATTATAGGCATCCTTACCAAGGGAATGATAACCTCGCAGTCAGAAGCAGTCTTGAAGTGATAGGGGGTCTTGAGACTTTTTCGAATTAACCGATGGTTGTAGATCTCGCCATTGACGGCAAGTATTATGGTTTCGTCCGCATTGGTCAGGGGTTGTGCGCCGGACTCTGCGACCTTGTAAGTAAAGAGATTTTGTTAAGTTGAAAAATTGATAAGAAATACATACCGACGCCGACAATGCTCAACCTTTCGTGGCACAAGACTAGAAACACGTTGGTTAGAGGTCATTCCAATACTAATTTTCCTCTAATAGGTAAATCTTACTTGTGTTCTTGCAAATAACACTTCCACCTGTACCAAACGGAAGTGGTCAGAATATATCGATAATATCACTAGGTTCGCTACGAGGTAACTCACTCCAGTCGGGGCCTCTGTGCCGAATTCTGCGTAGAACATGTCAATTAAAGTAATAGAGCTTAAATACATCTTATACGTACTGCTTTGCCAGTTTCAAGGCCGTCGGCTTGAATTTCTGGACGTCGGGATGACTAGGCGCAAACGTCTTATTAGTATATAGGGCAATCTTCCAATGGCATCACAAGTAAATCCAATCGATAATTATTTTTGGTGGGGTTTTGGCGATTGTCAATTGCCCCTCCATGACATTGATTGCTTTGATTGCTTAATCCATGCAGGGAAAAAGGTAAACTCACCAGTGACACGCGAATATTCCACACATCTTATCTGCCTCAAAGTGTAGTTGGTAGGATGCAGAATATGACTGAAAGACTTTTGGAAAGAGTAACTAAAGAAGAAGAAGGTATTTCTGTCAGAATTAAAAAAGACGGGCCACGCGACTAAAACTTCGAGAAACGTGGAGAGGCAAGAGCGACCCGGAGACTTTGAGTCACAAAAATTTATTTAGGAGGTAGCTATCGGTATGTACTTTTGATGTACTTTTTATTATCATATTCGCCTTTAAATACCAAACTTGACCCGTTATACTTAAAACCTAGGTACCTAAATGTAGGGGGTATGGATCTTAGCCTGACGGCAATCTTTTGCTAGTTAGAACTGTCACGCCGGAAAAAAAAAGCCGATTTCGGACGGAGCTTTAAGAAACGGCTACCTAATAATACTGTCACTGACCAACCACGCGGTGCCTATTGAGCCGTGATATTCACGTTATCAAGACACGAGACGGCAAACGGGGATGTAGATATTTATACTAGGTACTATAAATATATAACCCTAAAAAGGTGGTATTTATTATATGCTAGTTACTTTAATTAGACTTACTGCTTACCTTATGTCATTTATATCCATCGTCCCTACGAATTAGAAGAAATGGGATTAATTTTATTCCAATATTAAAGAAGAAAAAAAACCAATAGGACAAGGGCAGATTCTGCGTAACGTTTGCATTATATTCGGATAACCACGTTCTATCGGATGCCTTATCACTCTTCATAACCCCCAAAATCTGCAAGAGGATATCAACCCCCTTCCTAATAGGCCGGGTTGAACCGTGTTTCGCATCAGGCGGATGGGTAGGGGTCTGAACAAGCCTATGCTATTCGGACAAGTAGCTAACCGTGAAACCGCTTTACGGCTGACAGCCTCGTGGAAGCAGAATACTAATATGAAAGCAACTGGCTATGAAACATACGGTAGGTAAGGCACAGTAATAATCATTATAAAAATCATCAATTGCATAGATTGTAAATCTATACTTACATACTTAGCTGCTTCGCATCCATGTAGCACCATTCTTCACGGCAAAGGCTAGATTATTACCCCAGCTAAGAAAACCAGTTAACTGTCGTAGCCGCAATGCTAAATGCTGCTTGACATCTTCACATAGCCCTCCTGTGCCAACTCCGAAGGGCCCAAATGCAGAAAGCAGCCATCCGTATTTGGTATCCGTGACCCTGAACTCCGATGCCGAAAGTACACCAAGTATAGAATTTCCTCCCCAAGACACCACCCTATCAGCACCGGTTGAGCGCTCTAGGAGGCGGGATTCTCTTTCACCGTTCGCCTGACACGTCGCTCGTACTCGACCTTGTCTCGCTTAAAGAGGTTGTATGCTTCAGCTTGTGCGGGAGACTCCGGATTGGGATTGTCTAGGAGATCTTGGATGCCGAGTGCGATCTGCTTGACCGTGATCGCCGGCTTCCACCCTTCGTCCTCGTTTAGGATCGAAAGGCAGACGGTGCCTGATGGGTAGACGTTGGGGTGGAACAAAGGTGGCGTAAACTTGCCTATATGGCAGTTAGTATTGGCTTAACGAGTTTGTACATGGACTATAGAATAAACCTACATTTCGGGGGCTTCGTAGGGTACTCTGAAACAGTATCGGTCAGCACAACTCGTTTTCTCGGTGTTCCATATCCCACTCAACACCTACCGTCAGGGAACGTCATTGTCAATTTAAAAAGACCGCCTTCCCACATTGTCTTTTCCTTGCCAGGGATACCGCATTCCCAGATCTTTAAATCAAGAACGCCTTGAGAATTCTTGACTGGTCGTGCCCAAAATCCGAAAGGGTGGTCCTTTCTCCATTGCTTTCTATGAAATTACAAACACGTTAGTAAGGTGAGCGGCTAGCCTGCTTGTACGCCGTGTAAGAGCCTTGCAACGTTAAGCTTGACGTACCTCTCCTCTCCAAGGCGCAATTGACATAGAGACATCTTTATGGAATAGATAGCCTGATGATGCTCGTGCAAGGCTTGTAGTTTCTATAGCAGCCGGACTTCTTGCTTCGTAAGTGGTCGATGGAGTTTCAGGGTGAAGTTGTAGGTGTTCGTTTGTCTGAGGCCGCGCAAAGTGCTGAAAAAGAAGAGAGAGAGAGAGAGATCGGTGTTGAATCGGCTGGACAGTTGCTTAGGCTGCCCACGGAATTTATCAGTTTCAGGACTTCGCTACGAGCAGGAAGCTGAGAAATACTCCGATGGCCTGTAAGAAGGTGATGGACCAAGCCCGAGAGTGAAAGAGAAGAAGGGAAAAAAGATGAAAAGAATGGCAAGTGCGTTGTAAGACCCCAAGGGTAAAGAAGATGATGCGTAAACGTGAATAGATGTTAATCGAGCCTGCCTTCTTGCAGGGGTCCTAGGGGCTAGTCTCCCACACTCTCGAATAATAACGCTCTGCTATTGCCTACCCTAGGTACCTACCTCCTAAACTCCGAGTGAGGTGAGTTTACATAATACCCTATCCGGCCTCTAGTGGGGTTATATACATCCTTATCTTATCAGACATCCCACCTCGAAGCCACCAAGACTCTTGGTCCAAGAGAAACTGATATTTGAAACGGATAGATTAGGTAAGTACCTTTTAAAATGGTTAGTGTTAAAATAGGTACATACCTACCTAATGTACAGTCAGACAAATCATAAAGTATAATACGTTTTTGAAACTGACATTCATTCAAAACTCTGGTTGCTGCCGCCAAGCATCTCACAACTTAAAGGCCTCGGCAACTCGTGCGTATTCATTGATCCAAGTCGCAAAGTGCGTCGCCCAAACTATCGATTTTCTTTACTTGCGACTTTGTGCCTCTATCACCTAGCCTTGTTTCGCAAATTATACGGGTACCCTTTCGTCATTATTCTCGTCAGGGCTAATCATCCGTAACTATTATCGGCATTTCGTATCATTGACTAAGGTACCTTATTGTGTGTCTGACTTGGGCATCCTACACGCCCATCTCTTTGAGCTCATAACTATAAGAGTTGATTAGGCACTACGTTTTGTTTTATACTCTGTGAGACAAATTTAGGCTGCAAAAAGCGCAGGATACGGCGGCATGGAGGCGGAAAAGGCGGTCGCGGAAGCCAATCCGGATGGGCAAAATGCACCAGAAAAGGCAGACCAACCCACAGCTTCAGTACCCGACCTGGAAGACGCTCCAGATCCCGATGAGGATGACCTCGATGACCTCGATGACATGCTAGATGAGTTTTCTGGTGTAAAACTGGGCACAAATCAAGCAACCCCAGCACCCGGGGTCCCTGAGAAAGCTGCTGTGAAGACATCGACATCTGCTCCGGCGGGCGCATCATTGGACACGGAGAATCCACTAGATGGGCTCGATGATTTGTCTGAGGAGGAATTCCAGAAGCATCTTCAGGCTGGGATGGCAGAACTAATGGGCGGATTGGACAATTCGGTTAGTCGCCCTTCCACCACAGGTAAGAGCATGTTAGCCTAACATGACATAGCCAGACATGCAAGCCCAGTTTGAGAACATATTCAAGGGGCTCAGAGGAGATGGCCCAGAAAGCTCAGGGAGCGGATCGGAGTCGATTCCACAATCGTCCGATAAAGCAGCCTCGGACATAAGTCAGGATGCCTCGTTCCAGGAGACGATCCGGCGAACGATGGCCAGAATGCAAGAGTCTGGCGAGCAGGCAACAGCAGCAGCTACTGCTGAAGGCTCCGAGGATGATTTCATTGCTGAGATGATTAAGGCGATGAAAGATCTTCCCAACGAGGGAGGGAACGAAGAAGACTTCTCCAAAGTGTTAATGGGGATGATGGAACAACTCACTAACAAGGAGATTCTATACGAACCTATGAAGGAATTGAATGACAAATTCCCCGCATGGATGGAGAAGAACAAGGACACCTTACCAAAGGATGATTTAAAGCGCTTCCAGGAACAACAAGTCCTAGTCGCAGAGATGGTAGCCAGATTCGAGCAACCCACGTATGGTGATTCGAACGCGGCGGATCGGGAATACATCGTCGACAGGATGCAAAAGGTGAGTTGTCTGATTGTGTCATTATGTTATTTACTAATTGGTGAGCAATAGATGCAAGCAGCAGGTTCTCCTCCTCATGATCTAGTTGGAGATATGCCATCAGCCAAGGAAGTACTGGATGCGCCTGATGAGTCGTGTGCGCCTCAGTGATAATATACAAGGAATTTAGTTTCTCAACTGTTTATACATGACCTTCTCGGGGCCAGAAACCAAAACTGGCATGTACACAGACGATGTGATATCATACCCTACCATACCCTATCATAGAGCCCCTAATACTAATACGCCGCAACGAAAAACCTATCCTTGCCGAAGAACTCCCGTCTGTGTGGACTGATGCAACCCCTTAAACCCATTAAACCCAATGAAACTTCAAGACATATCCATTTGTCCTGAAGATATAAAGCCTTGACTATTCCGTTCTTGTTGCGATAAGAAATCCATGAAGAGGTGGTCATAGTCTTCATCATCGGAAATCGCCGGCGATGCCGCTCCTATGGGTGGTTGAGATGATTGGGTCTGGGCCTCGAACATGGATAGCATTGCGTCCAGTTCCTCTTCCTCTTCCTGCGCTATGGCGTCGATCATCATATCATCGGGGTTATCCATTGCTTCGCGTTGGAGTTCTGCAATATCTTCAATCTCATCTTCGAACACCATACCGTCAAGATCGGCGTTCTTTTGGTCTCGTCGCTGCCTATCTAACATGGACCACTCAAGCTTCAAGGCCTGCAAGCAAAGTTTGTTAATATCGATAGCACTCCGTTTCAACTAGCTAGTAGGATCACTCATACCTCTTGATCGCCTCCTCTTCTCTCCCACTTCTTGTCGTCCGCTCGCTTCCGTATATTTCGCAAAAACAAATTCCGCCTGCTCTCTTGCGCATTTTCTCGGTTCTGTCTTAGAGGATTTGGCTTTGCATTACGCGAAGCAAATTTGAATATAGAGGGCGGTGCTTTTATAGGTGAAGACTGAGTATCGAGTCTAGGGAGCGTGTTATGATCCCGGGAACATAATGGTGGAGAGCTCGGTCTGATGGGAGAAGAGGAGAGCGGCGATGAACGTGTAGGCCGGTGTGGCGTCGAGAAGTCGATATTGAATATCGGCATTGTGGATAACATTTCGTCCGTTATGATGTTATGTGACGTTAGACTCGAATAGGACGATGGGTAGATTAAATGTTTTTGTAAGATGATGTGACCAAGCTAGAGTCAAGTGATAGCTTAGACTATTTCAATGCGAGTTTAACACAGACAAACGCGGGTTAGAAAGCAACGCGGTGGTTTCAAATGTACATAAGCGGGGCTTAACGCGTAAAGAGCATTGCGGGACAATATAAATTGACAGATATTAGAATAGTTCGCGCTTTCGGGTTATCATTATGTAATATATGCTAATGAACGATATAAACTCCCCTACTTTGTGCATATTGTACCTAGGCAGGTTAGGTACCTAAGTAACTTAAAAGAAGGTCCACTGTGTCAAGCCATACATAGTAGAAACCCTAGAACTAGGCTACCTAGAACCTTGCATGGCACGATCCAGATCGTCCGAATAGGAGAAAGAACATTCTTTTACCCCTGTCCTTATGACGCCGAGGTCTTCCACGAGCCCGGGATTGCATGTCCGACAGATGGAGCAAGAAAAAAAAAAACGATAATGAAATTTTATTAGTCCGCTATCCCAACGTACCGACCACCTAATTGTAGGCTACCTAATTGAAGGTTCAACAATTAATCGCGGGCGGTCAAGTTCTCCACCGATTGAGACGAGAAGGACAACATGTCCTCGTTATCTTCTTATTCATAGTAGTTATTAGTTTTATTATTCTATTTAGTTAGTCAACACGCCCTTTCAAATGACTAGAACCGCGCCACCATGAAATGCCCCTCGATCAATTCGCTCGGCCGTCTTGCCAGCAACAGGTCATGGACATGTTCGAATTGCCGCACCCAACTACTCGTAGCCCATGTCAGGACAACACAACGTTCTATTACAAGACAATATACGACCAACTCTTCTGGGTACTCGAGGAAAACCCATAAGCATCCGAAGACAAGAGTTACCGTGTTGACCGCTGCTACCACCGCCGCGGCCGGGGCAGGCGTTTTGGCGTTCACAGACGACATTAAAGCTGGATACGATGCTACGGAACGCTCAGGAAGAGTTGCTGCAACACTGGCATTATGCATCAATGAGTATGTCCCAACTATAACTGTACCAAAAGAAAGAAGAAAAGGGGGTGAAAAACTAACTCGTCTTAGTTACCGAACTTCCTTAAACCAACGTGACCATACAGAGGATTCCGATGAGAAAGACCATATACTAAGGGCATGCCACAAAAGGTGTGCAGAGCGAACACTCAAGGTGCTCGAAAAAAATGGAGGAATATTTATTAAATTAGGACAGCACTTGGTAATCCCTCATACGTAGTGGCGCGCGACAGAAGAGTGCTAGCTAACTTCCGAGATAGAGTGCTATGACTTATCTACTCCCGCGCGAATGGACCGATACGTTTATACCGCTACAAGACAAATGCCCAGTATCTTCGTTCCAATCGATCGAGGAAATGTTCCGCGCCGATACGGGTGAAGAGCTTAAAGATTATTTCTCTGAATTTTCGGAACAGCCAATAGGGGCTGCCTCTCTTGCTCAGGTTCATCTAGCGACGGTGAAAGAAAATGGCAAAAAAGTTGCTGTAAAAGTCCAACATCCAGGTTTGGCGCAATGGGCACCTCTCGATCTGGCCTTGACCAAGTTTACTTTCTCAACCTTGAAGAAGTGGTTCCCCGAGTACGATCTGGAGTGGTTAGCTTCTGAGATGGAGGTTTCTCTACCCCAGGAACTAGACTTTCAGCTCGAGGCCGCGAATGCGATTCGAACGCAAAAGTACTTTGCGCAACACCCTGAACTACCACTCGTGATTCCCGATGTCCTTTGGGCGAAGAAGCGGATTTTGGTTATGGCGAACGAATCGGGCCATCGTCTTGACGACCTCGAATACTTAGACTCGAATCATATCGACCGCGACGAAGTCTCTGCCACGCTAGCCCACATCTTCAACGAGATGATCTTCGGTAAGGGTGCGCCGCTACACTGCGACCCCCACGGTGGCAACCTCGCTATCCGGAAGGCAACCCCAAAGAGACGAGGAGGTGCCAACTTCGAAATTATTATATACGACCACGGACTATATCGGGATATTCCTGAGAGCCTACGACGGTCTTATGCCAAGATGTGGCTGGCAGTTATCGATGGAAACATGTCTGCCATGAAGCGATACGCACACGAGGTGGCCGGGATCACGGATGAGCAATTCCCTCTGTTTGCCAGTGCTATCACAGGCCGCGATTATACAGTGCTCAAGTCGTCTATCTTAAAGTCACGATCCGACGAGGAAAAGAAGACCATGGGTGACGCGCTGCAAGAAGGCCTACTATCAGATCTGGTGACTATGCTCGGACAAGTGCCCCGGATCATTCTTCTCATCCTAAAGACAAACGACCTAACGCGCAGCCTCGATGAAAATCTGCATACCCGCCAGGGCCCGATGCGGAACTTTATGATCCTAGCCCGGTACTGCGCACGCACGGTGTTCCGCGAGCAAGTCGAGGAAATCCGGGAGCGGCCCGGCACCCTGTTATGGCCGGGCAATGCGCTACGGTTCATGGCCGCGTGGGTGGGGTACCTGCGTGTGGAGCTGAAGCTCGAGGTCTTCGAGCTGTGGCTCACGGTCAAGAGGATCGTGGGCATGAACACGATTCACTACAGGAGCGCTGTATCATTATAAATAATATTCACCCCTACTACATTATAATACCTGTATTACGCGAACAGCAGCATGTCTACCTAGGTACTCTACTTTAGAAGCGAGACTTTTTGTTTCCTCATGACGAGACGAGTCGCGGGTGGCTGGATACCTTGATAGATCGATAGATAGACACAGAGGGAAGGGGGGAGGGGGGAGCATTAGGCGGCGTCGAGGGGTAGGTGGATGAATACGATTTTAATGAGATGCATGTGAGTAATGTTATATATATATGCTAAGGCTTTGGCTTTTTGATGGCAGTACTTATGATTTGCGTTATTTACCTCTACTATCACGTACTGTCTGTTCTCTCCAGTCAGTGTACCTACCTTCTATATCTTTGCGTGTGCAATAAGGCCTGCCGTACTTGATCTGATTATAGAGTATACTCAGGTACACGGTCTTCAGTATTTGTAGATAGTCATCAGGATGTAGTTCCAATATAACACGAAAAGGACGAAAAGAAGATAGATATAAACTCATCAGGCCAGCATTGTCCATGATACTGGGAACGGTATTAGACTATCTCGTGATGCCCCTTGATAACATCTTACTCTTATGTCCCCTATTAAGTTGATTATGTGATCATCAAACTCGTACAGACGATACTATCTCCTACCTAGGTATGATATACATTATTTAATTCAAGTTAACTAAGGTAAGTACCTATCTATGTAGGTTACCTATATCTTATAAATAGGTACCTATACATATAATAACTAACTATGGATAAGACGTATTACCCCCAAGCTACGTGCGTTCCAATATCATCATACGCATCCTCATCATGCACCCTCTGATTGGGCCAACGTGGCCGGTATCATTGACATCTAGGTAACGCTGGGCACGATGTGATTCGTTGGATACCGCGTTTATAAGCAAGAACCCGCGTGGATGTGTCACAACTGGGTGCCGCATAGCTGACACCGTTGTGTCATATGCTGTTCCCGTATATTTTCCATGTGAAATCCCATATTGAAAACCAAGTGTCTCACCTACCAGAGCTTAGGATTGAATGATGACCATCAAATAACGCTTCAAATGGCAGATTTGCCTTCTAAGACGTAACGTTTAAAAATAGGACGACGGGCACTAATAATTAAGAGTAATCATATAATCGGTAGATAGGTAGGGTGGTCACTTATAAGGCAAACGCAACGATGGGAAAGATAATTATGTATTTAAATGGTGGGAAGAGCTCATTCTACTCTTCCCAGCCTAATTAGTCTACTTGCTGATAATGCAGACTTCACATCATTATTGATGCGATTTCATTCTCGTAATGCATCGCGGTATGTTCCCTTCTCAAAGAAATATGTATAACCTCCAATCCAATGCGGGTAGTTCCCAAGGTTAGGCGATAGCAAAACTGCATCCTAGTAGCCTGATAATGGGCTACTTTTGCGCGACAAATGCGCACAGCACCACGCTGGCTTTCCGTGCTATAGTCCCGTATCGCCTTGTCGGTGACTAACATGTTGTGCGTTGCGTGATCGGGAGAATAGATGGCGCCATTTATTCGTTCGTCGTACGTTAGGTGGTCTGCTAATTCTGCTAATTGCAGTCGCTAGTAGAAAGCTCGCCAATTCTCGGTTTATCAAAGGGGTATCAATTCTCCATTCTCCAGTTGCCGGTACGTCATCGCTAATATCTCCACATCTCCACATCTCCCTCCGAATGTTTCTCGCTAATAATCATAGGCCAACTTAGCACTTAGCGACCACCCCACCTCCAGCTGGAACTGGAACTTGAACTTGAACTTGAACTTGAACTTGAACTTGAACTTGAACTTGAACTTGAACTTGACGAAACGGTGTGAGTGCTGGTGTCGCTGCGATCGCTGTCTACGCTGGTGCGCTTCTCAGGCTGAGGCGAAGGTGACCGGCGCAAGTATGTCGGTAGGTATGTAGCGGTTGGGCTTAGAGGCTCGGGCGAAGTCTGGCGCGTCTGGAACGACTTCTGAATTTGTTTGCACAGGTGTGCAGACATGGTATAGGTGGGCGACATGGTGGGATGGGTGGTAGTAGAGGGGCTCGTGACCTCGATCTGGAGTAGAGATAATATCGATAGTCAGATACAAGAGAAGGATCTCGCAAGAGGTCTCGTGAAGTAGCGCGACTGGACGGAATAGTAATACGCTTGTATGGAAGTAGGTATAGCTTGAGAAGAGAGAAGGGTATCAAGAGCTGCTGGCTTCCAGCTTAAGTACGAAAGGCACCGTTCGATAGGAGCTTGGCGGTATGGGTGATAGGTCGAGAAAGGAAGTCGACAGACAGACGAGATGGTCAATATGGTATCGATGGTATCGATGGGGGAGATACTAGAAAGGAAAGAGGAAAATGGAACAGGTAAAGGGGAGGTAGGGGGAGTTTTATTTATTTGCCTGTGCCTGTGCCTGTAGCTGGATTAAATCCTTTTGAATATTCCCAAAATAGAAATAGAAATAGAAATACTTATGATCTACTAATATCGTGGAGCGTGGAGCGTGGAGTCAAAAGGGTGAATAGGTATGTATGTATGTATGTTTAGCTGCAGGGATTTACATGGGTGAGTTGGTAGAATAGAAAAATAAATGCCCTGAGAAAGGGGATAAACGGTAGCCAATTGCCAGTTACAGCTGGTACAGTAGTGGTCCTGTAGGTGACCCAGTGGTGTTAGTCGGCTGTCGTACCTACCGGGTGTCCCCGCTATATCAGGTCACTGCGCCACTAAAACGGCTACTGTAGGACATTCCGACGAATCAAGAGCTGCCTAATTCACATTACACAGCAGTCTAACGGACTTTATGTGACTCTGTACAACTCTGAACTCTGTATGAGCTGATCCGATCGTACGACCACACCACCTGGAAGTTCCCTTCCCGGTAATTCGTATTCCACTACTTCGTACCTAAAAGCCCGTCTACAACCAGCTTACGTACAACACCTGTACGTTGCCCGTCGGTGAATATTAAGAAATGTTACAAAGCTCCCAAGTCGCGCGATTCTTGCCAGTGATGAGCAAACACTTACCCTTTAGCTCTAGCTCAGCTGAGTTCCACAGTCACTTGCGTGGATGTTTACATACCTAGGTAGGTACCTAAGGTATGCACCTGGGTTGGTGTACAAGGTGTGATAGCCTTATCACTAACACGCAAACACCGTTTGACACCACGTCGGTTAAGTAAGCAGGTAAGGTTAGGAATACAGGATTAGAGGAACTCGGATTGGATGGATGCTTTTAAACACTGCACGCGACCACACGATACTACTGTCTAGCGTCTAGAAGATAAAATAAATTGCCTTGTTTGTATATTCGGTAGTTGCGAACAACTGCTTTTTTTCCGGAGAAAAACTCACCTTCCGATTCAGCCCCGCAGGTATGTATATGTAATAATAGGCCGCCGGCTTGGGGCTCGGTTGTCGGGATACGTCATCCCGTGCTAAATTGAAGCCATCGCCATTTTTTAAGGCTATGTAATATTGGAAATGCGGAAGTGGACATCCAATATATCTTCACTCGTGAAAAGAGTAGAACTTTACTCACTTACTATCTCCGTCACTGTGTTTTTAACTCCGTCAGCCCTATGTAATATTGACTACCTACCTATATAATAGATCACCAAGTAAATTGACACGAGTAAAACACACATGCACACGCACAACGTATATATGGAATGGGTGGTTCAAATCATATTTCTACTAGGCAAGGTAGTTCTGAATAGATGCATGCATAATAATAAGTGTAAAAATTCAAATAGCTCTTATAGTCAATGTTATATGAAACTGAATCAAAAAGCTTGGGGACGAGTTTCAACTACGCGTAACTTGGATATACAGGTAAGGTATGTAACTTCTCTTCGTTTTATACTAGAAATGTAAATACCAAAACCACTTTTGATGCTTTTTTAAATCATACGACCGCTATTATTTAATATTAGTTAGCTTAGGTGTACAGCCGTACGGGCCGGGACGGCATGCAAATACCCCTTTCATCACGATTCACGGTAATCTTCCGGAGGATTACGTTGATATTTTTTCGAAGCGAAAATCCATGGCCGAGGGAAGATCTAGGACATATTTCTACATAGGTTACGTATTCGCCTATGTATGTATATAGGTACATACATACAATTCATCTTCCAACGTGGTGCGATCATCGCTTAAAAACCTAACGATGGCGCGACGTGCGGTGTTGGTGGCGACAGAAATGCTAAGATTGCTTGCAGAGATCTACCGCGTTTATATCTCAAATAAATCTTAAAATCGCGCGGTGTCGAACGAACATGAGGAGATATTCATCTCCATATATACATAAATATATACAGATAAACCTAGGTTAGCTATGTAGGTTGACCGCTACCTCCCGGTCCGTTGCGTGTACGGAAACGGCTTCCATAGCGCTTTGACCCCGAACCACCACAGCTCGTCCTGCCACGTATTCCAGTAGTGGCCGCCGAACGGCGTGATCCGCGACAGGAACTTGACATCCAAGGCGTCGAGCGCGGCCTGCATGTCCCGGCCCGCGTCGAAGACCGAGTCGTATAACCCGTACGCGACGAACACCCCCTTTTTGGCTAACGCGGGATTCGCCGCGAGCGCCGCCTCGTCGACGTACGGCGCCTCGGTCGCCGGCGAGAACATCCCGAACCAGTTGAAGTAGTCCGTGGCGTTGACGTACATCTCGTACGTGAGGCGGCCGCCCCACGACAGGCCCGCGAAGGCTCGGCATGAGGGCGTGTCGCATACTTCGAGGTGTTCTTCTACCCTGGTGATGTATAGTTGACGGATTTGATGGTACCCCGGAACTCGGCGGGGGCAGGCAGGGCATAGTCGAAGTTCGCGCTTATATCGTCGGTGCCTTGGAATTGCGCATTGAACGGTACCTGGAAGCTAGATGCCACTTGATCTCCTTCGACGTTTTGGAACGGGGGCAGGTCCGGATCAGTGACGAGTTGGCCGGTAGCGATGCTGCAGTTTGGTGCGTAGTTGCAGTCGACTAGGTACGCATAACTGTAGATTCCTGACGGAAGAGGCGTTATTCTAGTCCCTTCATGGCCTTTTATAAAGTTGAGGACATTGATGTTTACTTGGCAAGGACGAAGATCACCCGAAAGGAACCCGGTTCCCATAATCCAGAGCCGTCCTCTGAGGTCCCGTACTATTCATCGTGACGACTAGGAGTCCCGACTTGCTTGGGATACTAAAGTCTAACCCAATGCTTGCGATCATCTCGGCTGAATGCTCTTTAAGGTATGGACCTTGAGGGGGATCCCCATGGTTATCCTTCCGCAATGTCACCTTGCCTGCCGGGGATACTCCTCTCTTTGATTTCCCCGCATTATGTCTCCAAGCTAAACTGACTAGGAAAGCATTAATCCTCCAGTAAACTATGACGCTCTTGGGAATATTCATACTTCTAGGCTCGGTATATGAGGATATAATATAGCAGCAATACGAGGACAGAAGATTATATGGTATCTTGTTCTAACCTAGAATCGGTCCTATTATAAGACAACTAATGCTAGAGTTATACCGAGATAGCTTTTATATGTAGTAGTTAAGAGACAAAGCTTTATAATATTCCCACCATTTTTAATCCCTTCACATTGTTAAGATTGGATGATATCAACCCAACTTTTATAATACTTTTCCTCAAGCAATCAACTCCTTTTTTGGCTCGAGGTTTTAATGTCAGGATTTAGAAAATGATAATATAAGAACTATTAGAAGTGCCTGCACTAACTATGACATCTTAAACTTAAGCATATGAAGATAATAGCGAAGGCTAACCTGGCTATATAAGCCTTTTTTTGAAGTGAAAACTTACAACTAATACAATAGCATCTACAAGCTGTATAGGTTAGCTTATGACTTTCTGAATAACACACAAGACATAGGCATGTTCAATGCTTGAATGTAGCCAGGAATAAAGGTATTCATTAATTATATCGACAAACATAATAGCAATCATTAATCGTTGACGAAATCATAACGTGCTCTTCTTATCTTTAGAGGCCATTAACTAACCCAAATCCAAATCCAAGGCCAAGGCCAACAACATAAACTCTAGGATCCAGAAAAACAAAATAAAATAGAATAAAAGAATCTGTCGTAGCAAGAAAACCGGCTCATAAATCGTAACTTTAGCCACGTATCTCATCATGTTGTCGCTAAGAAAGCTATCAAGCCAAATGGGAAAAGTATTGCCGAACCTCGCTTTCTATCCAATTCACCGCCGTCGAAAATCATATATCTCTTAACACATGTCCGAATATGTTCATCAAGCTGCCGCCGGGTTGTAGTAATCCCCCAAGAGTTTGGGCAATATCGCTGACTAGAGCAGGATCCGGCTCGCCGAGTGATCTCCATGCCCCGCGGACGTGCCAGTCGTTGTCGTTGCGTGGGAGATATTCAAAACTGCCTTGTCTCGTAAACCCGCCAACGGTAGTATTTTTAGTTTCAAGTGGCTGACCGGAAGGGTCGAAACGATCTGGTAGGTACTCGATTTCGCTATCGTCAGAAACTGGTGAGTCGTCGCCGCGCACTCTACGTCGCTGGACACGTGGTCGGTTAGATGACACGTCTGAGCCTGAGCGCCTCCGTATATTTCTAGGCCGTTGAAGAAGGGCTAGTTCCTCCTCGATTTCCTCCTCCGATCGTTCTCCCATCCGTCGGCGATGTCTTCGGAGAGTTCGAGAAGACTTCGGTGAGAGAGGCACGAATTTGACTTTAGCAGCAGGAGGTTCTGCATCGACACTTCTCGACCGAAGGCTAGAAGAAGATCGCTGGCGATGTTTTAAACCATCTAGGAACCTAGTTAGAATTTATGGGATTTTGTATTATGTCGTAGACACTTTATAATTACGAAAAGAAATAAACTCAAGGAGACGCACCCTGCTCAGTAGCCGTGCTCCGAGAGGCATCAGGATGGGATTGTATGTCACCAGAGCGTGGATGACTCACATTTTCTGGACCGGTTCGGTTATCCAGACCAGGTGGTGGCCCGGATAGCGGAGGTCCGGGAGGAGGAGGCAGATTCATCGAAGGTACTCCCGCATAGTCTTGAGGATTATAGGGTGGGTAGGGGCTATAAGCATTCACGTTAGGGGTAGATGGATTCGGATGCTGCGTAAAGCCAGCTGGGCCGGCTGGGGGTGGACCAGTAGGTTCCGTGGCGGGAGGAGGCGGATAGTATGCCCCACCAGAAGCATGGAGTGGCGATGGGGGCATCGCGGTGTGATAATCGTAATATGGATCGTCTGGTGCTTCCTCTTCGTAGCCTATTTCATATTTTTAGCTAGGTAATTTCATTCTAGTTTTTTTTCTTCTTACTACGTACGCCTTCGTTCACGATCACGGGATCGCCTGGCTTTACGTTTTTCTTTGTCTCGATCTTCCCTGTCTAGCGACCTATCTCGGCTTACGTCCCTAGATTTGCCTTCTCGCTCCTTACTCTTCTGGCGGTCTTGATACTTCTTGACACCTATTGCCGCCGCTGCTGCGGTGCCGATTCCGGCGGCCGTAACGCCGCGCAGCCTGCTACGACTCCTTTTCTTGCGAGCCTCTCGATCGGACGTGGAAGGTGAGCGATGATCGTGTTTACGGCGGCGTCGCGTCTCCTCGGTAGCAGACTCGTAGCCCTCGATGGGCTTACTCCCGTACTCTACCCCGGGAACTACGGGAACCAGGCCTAATTCTCTATCAGCCGTAGAGTCTCGTGAATGCGAATGGCGACTAAGTGACCTGGAGCGGGATCGGCTTTTTGAGTAGCCTCGATCTCTATCGTAGTACTCGTCATCTGAGTCTCTATGATGTTCGCGTTCTTTCGACTCTTTCTTTTCCTTGTGACGCTCCCAGAGCTTTTCCGCCGCAGCGCCAGTCAAGCCAGCAGCCGCAATTTCAGCACCTAGCTAATTAGAGATACTGCCTCACCTAGATGATGGATTTTGTACTTACCAGTCTTTAGGCGAGATTTGGATCGAGATTTCCCTCGAGACTTAGACCTATAATGCTTCACTATACCAGCAAGAGCACTGATACAATTCCACAATCAGTAATTTGGTACTCGATTATAATAGCTTAAGGGGGTGGTAAAAGATAGCGTTGAGAAGACGTAAGAAAACAGAGCTCAGAAATCCTTAACTTACCCGGTTGCTAAAGCTGCCTCAGCCGCCTTGGATTTGGATTTGGATTTGCTTCGGCTACGGCCGCGGTCTGACCGACTTCGGGAAGTCGAATACCCGTCAGTAGAATAACGGCGCCGTGCACGTCCACGATTTGCCTCTTCTTTCTCGACCTTGTTATTCTGCATATATTTGAGTCCACCAGCGACAGCTAGAGCGGCGGCACCCTTTATATTATTAGTATTGATTGGCTCATTGCTCATTTGGATGTTTGTAATACTTACGATAGCCAACCCGGTTGTTAGTCTACTCCGCGACTTGCTTCGGTGTTGATGTCGATAATTGTCGTCATAGTGATCTTCATACCTGTCCTCGTGCCTATCCTCGTATGCGCTCTTTGCACGACGTGCAGCCTCGGTACCTAAGGCGCCTAAAGCAGCACCGGCGAGAACCTTGCGCCCTCTATGCTCGTGGTACTCACTATTTTTACCACCACGGCCGGAGAGGAGGGCAGTGAGGCCGGCACCGGCAAGGGCACCTTCAGCTATATGTCGCTTCTTATGACGGTCAGAGCTAGAACTACGTTCTCGTGTTATGATTGTCCTCTTAATATAGTAGTCCTCATCATAGCCGTCGCTTTCGTATTGTCGCTCGTCTCGACGCCGTCGGTCTTCCCGACGATAATGATAATCTTCCTCCTCCCGGGGTTCTGGGCGGGGCGCCACTTGTCGACGCTCATCCCTTAAGACGATATACGTCGGTTCCTGCCGCGGAAGTATGACGGGAGCAGGCGCGGGAGCTTCGTGGATAATAACCTTTTGTTCGGGAAACTTCTGGCGAATAACGACAGGCGCTGGCGGAGGAGATGGTGCCGCGTAATACTCGACCTCTTTTCGGTATCGCTCAACATCGACGTCATGAGGATTTTTGTCTACTTCAACGCGGCGCTCAATCATGAGATCCCGCTCCTTATAGTCGCGAGGCTCTTCTCTGTACTCCTCGGTTTTCTCTCTAACCTGTAACTCTCCGTTTGGTTCTTCGCGCACGATCCGCTTCTCAACGCGAACATCTTCCCGGACGTCATCCCAAGGATAAGCCGACCGACGGTCCCAATAATGGTCGCGGGGTGATGGTGAGGATGTCTTAATCTCTTCAACAACTTTGGTGCGAGAGTGTCTCTCAGGGTAATGATCCCGATCGACGTCGCGTTCTCGCTCGTATTCAACAGTCCTATACCGGTCGTGGTCGTGGTCGTGGTTGTGGTCGTGCGAGTCGACAGCCGACCTAGGTCGCTCGGGATAAGAGGTTCTCTCAACACGGCGATCTACTTCTAGCATCTCGCCAGAGGAACGGCCGACATTGGAATGCGAGTGTGAGTGTGAGTGCGAGTGCGAGTGTCTTGACCTTCGGTCGTCATCCTCTTCATAGCGCTCGATGCGATCCCGCTCAACAACTCGACCTCCACCTCCTACTTTATACCGCCTCACCGTCGTAGATTTATATCTCTCATCATCGGACGAGGGACTATCCTCCCTTGTGTAGCGCACATCGCGCTCACGATAAACTTGAGACATATTGTTGCGAATCCCAATAGATGGGAAACAGTGACGTCACTGAAGTGTAGATGATTGATTTTTGATTTTAATAAATACGAAGATGAAAATAAAGGCGAATTATGAGGATAAAAGGTATATACCTAAGTAGACAACACCAATACCAGAGACTATATATATCGCGGCAAAAAAGGAAGGCTGGTGACGATGTGGGATGATGGAGAATGTCACGCTGGACTTCTGCCCATCAAGTTGGGCTCGAGAATGATCGGGAAGAGCGACAGACGCTGAGTGATGGGCAAAATGGATGATGGGGTTCCCGAGGGGCGCCGACTGTGACTCTAAACCAGCCCAGTCTATGTAGGTAGTTGATTACTTGGCGTTCGGGGCTTTTGTGGAGGGGCAAAGAGGATGAGTGACGCTGTTAGTCTCTTGTCAACCCTGCCACACTTGCCCTGCCTCGTGGCTATTTAGTCTCTAGGCTTGCCGGTTCTCCAGGTCTCTTGGATTTCCTGATTAACCTTGGAAGCACGCAGTTCGTTTGCGCTGCGCCTTGGTATCGTGTATGTATGTGTACCTAGGTAGGTAGGGTTTTATTTGCGCTAACTTGTGTGGGAGAAGACGAGACCCTCAGCTACGTATTGATGCGGGGTTCCCGACCTAATCAATATTCATGATACGTCTTGTATCGCTCAGTTGGATATCGAACCTCTCAAAAACATAGCCGCGAAATATCAGACAATTTTCAAGGAGGAAAAACCTCACAGCGTCCGTAGATACTGTAGGACTTCCGCTAGGTATTACAAACCAGACAGATGATTGCGGCTACTTGCTGATGATGATAATAGGTGAGACTTTTTTTCATTACCTTGTGATCATTGTTTGAGCTGGGGCTGTGATAACTTCTAGTCTCGTTTGCTGTGGTTTAATTGGTGAGTGGGTTGAATTATGTGCATATGCAGCTTTTACCCATGTAAGTTGGGTCCCGTGGCCTATAATGTGCACTTCCCTCCTTCCCTCTAGCTGCTTCTCAAATACATGTATTCTTTATGTTTTCCGCGCCTTCCCATCTTCCATAATATTCTCGTGTTCTGTACGAGGTAGGTACCTATGTACTTGAAAATCAAGTCGGAACAATGTCGTCATTTTCCTGTACGAAGAAGCATTGCTGGCCCCTCAAAAACGGGACTCGGCGCATTGAGATAGTTACAGTGGATCCTGCCAACTCTTACGTGTACATACTAGTGGCCTTTTCTACCAACAATTGTAACAACCTAGGAGGTAGATGGTTACATCATCCTTCAAAATGTAACTATTCTTAGTTGTGTTACATTTCCTAGCTTTCGCAAGTATTCTTACGTATTTGGCGAAACTTCATTCTCACGTCAAGTACAGAGTCTCGATGCTACGTTTGAAGGATAAAGCTCGATTGAGTATATTTCGATGAGAAACGACTATATTCTTCGCAATCTTATGAAATTTCATCACATCTTACGAAGAGAAGCGAAGAGAAGCTGAAGTCTCATATCGAGTAAGCTTACTCAGTACAGAATTCAGCTCACATAGAAGAGTCATATCTCAACAGTGCTGTTAGATCATGAACCTCTCACTGAATTGAAGTATCATGTATGCTGGCCCCTGGGACTATGCTTAGATTATTTAGGTAAGTATACGGTAGGCATCTTATTTTTGGTCGATTGATCGTGGTTTATCCAGTTCGATCCATTCGAATATAAACCCTGGATCTCCGGCCCTAGCACATTAAATAATGCATCTGCTCGGCCATTGTATGCCATGTTTTAATTGACAAGCACTCTCATTTCCATCCACGATTCTATATTCTATATTTCCGCCCCGCATTCCCCAAGCCTGCACGGAGCAGTTGTAGTTTTTGAAAGAACACCTGTTCAGTCCGACCAATCAACAACGTCCCGTAGACAGGGTAAACGGATAAATACCTACGATGCTTTACCTAAAACTTCACGCCAACGACCAATGCTTCACTGAGATGTCATAGACATAGCACAATCCAAGAGGTTATGCTTACGTCAATGATATTGCGAATAAGACAAGGATAGCATCCTAATCACTTACAGCCCTTCTCTCAGCATTCTAGGTGACGCGTCAAATGTAGTATCAAGTACGGAATGAAATTCGGTTAATTAAGAAAGTAAATTACGCATGTCGATCTGAATCGCTTCAAGCTATGGGTAACGTACGCGTCGGGGCTGGCAGGCTGAAGACCAAAGCACATCTCTCCCATCAATTGACCAACCAGCGTTCTAGGCCTCTTACAATACCATGTGGCCTTGCTCTTTTGAGCCTTGGCAAAGCTTGTTCCGATGTTCTCGCATTGCTTAACCGGTCTTGCACTATGCTAGCTTATGGCATCAGATGAACATATCGGTAGCAGATCTACAGTTGTTGCGGTGAGGAGCCATGAATTGTAGACTTCGTCTGTAGCTCTTCGACAATTTGCCGAAAAGCTTCATCCCCTGAGTAGTTATGGGCATGGGCATGGGTATGGGTTGGCGTGATGTGATTTTGGAAAGGAGAAGTCTCTCCGTAGAGTCAAAATGTGTATATATATATAACCCTATGATCACCTCGCTCTGAACTGAGAATAGAGTCAAATCACTATCAAATTCTACTCAGTCGGCTTAGGATAATCATCATGAAGGGAATCATCGCTCTCCTGCTTCTCGGCCTCGCTGTCGCAGCACCTGTCAACCAGGAGCTTCAAAACGAATGTAAGTTAGGCTGTATTCAGGTCTCAACGACACAAAAGCTAACATATATGACAGTGCCTGGTGAAGACGTAAAGAGTAAATACTATCGGCCCCATGAAGTTTACTACGCAAGCAGATTAACGTGTATCATATAGCTCGCCCGCATCCCACCGGTCTTCCTACTGTTAGCTTTTCGCTTCCACCGCTACCAACTGGCTCTGGCTGTAAGAAATTGTGCTCTCTCTTACTTATAAATACAAGCTAATATAATATATAGTCCCCGGATGTGAGCTGACGACCTATGATATTGCAACTGACAACAAGCTAATCTAGTCCAAACAGTCCCTCGCCCAACTGGTGAACCAGGTGGCCCAGGTGGTATGTTCTAACTGCTTGTTGCTGCTATGATTTTATCTGACAGAAATCAGGTTTCCCGCGCCCTACTGGTCGCCCTCGTCCTACGGGCCGTTCTCAACCCACCGGCCGCCCTCGTCCCACGGGTCGACCACAGCCTACTAGTCGACCTCACCCCACCGGCCGCCCTGGCCGCCCTACCACTAAATGTTAGTTACACGCCACGGGTTTAATCCAATCTACGGGGCTAGTTACTAACTTATGAATAGCGCCGCTACCCACTCCCACTCCCACTCCGACGCCGTGAAATGGTGCAACGTGATGGGCTATCAAAAGTGTAATGAAGGGGACCTTACTTTAGGCTACGATACTAAAGGACCATTCATCATTTGCTTTAGGTAGTTATTCAATAAGAGGATACATAGTGTGGTTAGGACGGATATGACAGGCTATCATTCTAAGTAGACAAGAACGACAAATAATCAGGGGCTCACCAGACCTGACAATATTCTTGTATTTTAATTTTACAACCCTTATCTTAAGGAATTTAGATTGTACCTTCTACCACCCGAGTAAGCCCTTCCCGTAACTTGTATGTAGCTACCCTGTCACATTAGACGAAACTAAGGGTAAGAACTATGTATTATTAGCTGATAGAAAGATGGAAAGCATACTTGTAGCAACGTATGTCGTTGGGAAACACGTATCGAGTACGTGTATACCCAACCCAACATATATCCAAACATACATTATTAGCTGAACCCATCATCCTTCTTCGTCACACTCTCCACTAGGAAACATCAATCTCTTCGCGTCGCCCCTTTTCACTCCTATGTATATCATTATTATTACACAAATAGCCCTATTTATCAGTAACTAGAGGTCATACTTCTCCATTGGAAGCTTACCTGAGTTTCTATGGTCTTAAGGATAACTTCCCATAACCCTTGCTTCGAGGTTTACATGACCTGTCTTTTATATCGGCTTCTCCATCTTCTCCATCACTAATCAATACGGATAACTCTATGCGGTAGCTCGCCGAGAAACAATCTTCATTAGTCACACAGAATGGCTACCTTCAAGACCGTCTTCCAAGATACTACCATGGAGCCGAAATTTAATCCGAGCTTGCGCCCTAGCAATTCAACCCCCTCGTTGAAAGCAGCGAAAAACCGCCCAATATCTGTTCGTTCTACAGGATCCAGATCGTACCGTCATATATTGCTAAAATCAGAGGATTCAGCGGACCAATTGATCAGGGACTTGCCGATACCTCCAGTCCTAACACAGGGCCCGCCAGAGCTTACAGTGAGAAATGCCGTCACGATGAATAAGCTCTCTCGTCTATCTATACCTACAAGAAAGTCGTCCAAGGCTGATCTTGAAAGTCAAATCCCGGGAACTCCTATTCTCGATGATACAAGACGACCTGGAATAGTGTGTATTGATCCTACAATACACCCTCCAGGCAAGCACGCAGAAATCCACCACCCTGGTTTAATTGCTGACTTCTGCGATGCTGGGCTTGCCGTTGAGCGCGATTCTCCCATCAGAACCCCACCAAGCAAGCCTGCTTCTGTACGTTCTGCTCCCGTATTAACTGGTCGGGTCCGCCGCGTTCTTTCAGGGGGTGACATATGCGAAGATATAGTTGATGTTTCCGAGCATATCCATAAGAACCACAGCTCAGCTACCAAGGTTCGTCCGGCTATTGGGTTACTTCGCAACAACGAAAAGCACGACGGCCACTTTCGTATTTCAAAGGTCCAACCTGCTCTTGAAAAAGTCGAGCAAAAGAAGATAATCCACCAAAGCAAAGTACACACCCTAGTAGATTTCACGCCAGAAGAGCCATACATCTTAGAGCACACCCACCATGGCCACAGTCTCGCGCCAAAAGTCCGTCTATCCATTGATGATTCTAGAGATAGTACATATCACAGCGACCCCCACGAAGGTCATATTTGGGTTCAGAAGGCACAGCCTTATCACGAATCGGCATCTACCGCCTTTAGAACAGAGGAAAACTCAATTCCAAGGTTATCCGTGAAGAAGCACGTCCACCAGGGTGACGATTCGGCAAAATCGACTTCGTACTGGGGATTCTTACCAGGATTTGGAAATCAAGAGGGTGAGAAGGCCGGGGTGACTGGTGAACCTGTGGATAACTCAATCCCTCATGTCAGCAATGAAAACCATCCTTCATTGAGCGCTAGTCAGTATTCGGCTTCTCAAAAAAGCCTCGAAGCTGCCTCCAAACCCGTTGCAAGACTTGCAGAATTCATTGGTAATCAAGAGATTTTTCGCCATACCAATGCGAACTTGTCATCACTTGGAAAATTGTTTAGTAGTAGCCATTCACAAGACAGAGTTTCTCTTCGGGATGATGGGCAAGAAACGGAAATTCCAACAGCTTCTGTTTCTCCAACATCATATGCGCATCGCACGAGGGGTGATAATAATGCTGCAGAGCAAGGTATATTACCTGAGGGGATTGACCCTGCGCATGCCGCAACCTGGCTTCGTCAGTTTCTCGGATATCCAGAGTCAAACCCTCCGAATCTTACCCAACTACCGGAGAAATCCCATCCTCGTCACGAGGATCATGACGACTACCCCAACAACAAAGACGAGGCGTTGGTTTCTAGAGCGACGACTTTCTCAGGGAAAACATCGAACGAGGCCGGAATGATGGACACGGCTATGCATAACCTTGAGCAACTACTGGACGAGGCACTTTTCCTCGCCAACGAAGCTACCGAAAACGACCATTGCAGGCATGATGATGACAAGGACCTCATTTCCCGCCTACAGAATGCAACTGAAGCATTTAAAGACCCCCCGATCTTATCTGATACCCAGGTAAGTTATGAGAGAGAGCTTGATAAAAGCCTGCATCGTCATACACTTGCCGAGAAACTGCCAGATACCATCGTGGATGCGGCTGAAGAAAAGGCTGGTGGCCTTAAGACATCATCCTCGAAGGCGGCAGCCCAAGAAGACCCAATAGAACCTGACATGCGTAACGGCAATATTGCGCGGTCAAATATAAAAAATGGATCGAATATCCGTGGCCTTCGGAAGCCTAAAGAAAGTTATAGTGAAAGTCGCGAAGTACGCCATCAGGTTTCCGACGGGGAGCATATTTTGCCTCTGCCACCACCAGGCAGTAAACTCAAGAGACAATATCTCTCTCCAATGCTTCAGGCATATGATGAGGATGATCCCACTGGGATCATAAGGCCTCGTACTAAGGCCGTCCCCAACAGTAGAGAAGTTAGGGAGTACATTCGCGTATTTCACCAGCCACCAATCACCCTTCGACACAGTTCCAAGAACCTTAGCGAAAACTCACTAGGAATGGAGGTTCAACCCCGTCGAGCTGCCACCGTTTCCGAGGGCTGTCGCAAAGATGCGGATGCATATAGCTTGAAAGACGGCACATCTGATGATACGATAGACTTTTCCACCCAATACAACAATGATAGACAAGGGAAAGAAATACCAAGCATCGAAGTGTCGACATATAACGGTAACCGGAATGTGTTGACGACTAGACTCGGAAGAGCTCGAAGGAAGGTGGCTTCCAAGAGAATTCACGAGTTGCGCAATATCAACCTTCGGGGGAGATCTCACGTCAGTATCAGGGATGGACAACGATTCAGCCTAACCAAGTCGGTGAAGCGACAGCCTATAATCGCTCGCGACTGGTCTCCTATCCGTAAGAGATTTGTCGCCTCGGTTGCGTGCATCAGTACAGCCTTGATTGGTGTCCTGGTGGGAATCTATGCAGGCTTGGTTCCGTCAATTCAGTATTTCATTGCAGATTTCCACCATTACTCAATCATCGGCAACGTAGTGTTATACCTTGGAATGGCATTGTCAACGTTTTTTTGCTGGCCATTGCCACTGCTACACGGCCGGAAGCCATACATCTTATGCAGCCTATGCGTAGCTCTGCCGCTTCTCTTCCCGCAAGCTGTTGCGGTTAGCATACCTAGATCACCGTACACCAGCGTCTGGAGATGGGCGTTGCTTCTTCCTAGAGCAATCATGGGCTGTGCTTTGGGTTTAGCGAGTATGAATTTTCATTCGATACTAACTGACCTCTTTGGAGCGTCCCTAATGAGCAGCAATCCGCACCAGGAGGTCGTCGACCAATACGACGTAAGGAGACATGGCGGCGGGCTCGGAATTTGGCTGGGCGTCTGGACATGGTGTTTCATCGGCTCATTAGGTATCGGCTTTCTAGTCGGTGCCGTGGTCATTGACACTTTAAAGCCGTCGTGGGGACTTTACATTAGCATCATGCTAATTGCACTCGTTCTCCTTCTTAACGTCCTGTGTCCCGAAGTTCGACGTTCAGGTTGGAGACGTTCCGTAGCCGAAGTCAGGACCCCTTTAGGAATATCTCGAAGAGTAGCTCGCGGGGAGATTATGATGCATCGAGTCAAAGATGGCCCCAAATGGTGGGGACAGGAGATGTATCACGGGGTCGCCCTATCTCTTGAAATGCTTCGTCAACCGGGCTTCGTCATTATGGCTGTATATTCTGCGTGGATATATGCTCAAGTCGTTTTGATCATTGTTGTAAGTCGATTTCCTATTCCATCAACTTGCGTCGTCCGCTAACAACCTAAAGCTTCTGGGGTCCTTATCTTCTAGGCACTACCATTTCCGGTCTCCGTACGTAGGTGCTGCGGTCTCATCTGTCGCCATCGGAGCGCTTGCAGCAGTGCCGTTCCAAAAGGCAAACCTCTTTTCACGGTCCCGATGGACAGGTCCGCCAACAAACAATATGACCTTCGACAAGTCGGTAACTTGGACCTCCCATCTTGTTCGGAGAGCTATCTTCATTATCGTACTCCCGATTGCCGGAATTCTATATACTGTAGTCTCCTCTGGCCCGCCTGTCCATGTCGTATTTCCTTGCTTATTTGCGGCTATAATCGGGTTCTTGTCGTGTCTTGCGATAGCTGAGTGCAATGGTATATTGATGGAAACATGGGATTGCTCTGACTTCCAGCCGGGCATGACGGGTCGGTCTAGATCAGGAAAGGATAGTACCAAACGGACGAATTACTCATCTTTTCCCCGAGTCACTGCTGGATGGAACATTATTCACAGCATCGGTTTTATTCTTGCTGCGGGAGCAACAGGTATCGGTGGCATAGTCACACGGAATCTAGGGCAGAGGGCTGCAACGGGCATTGTCGCATCCATCTTGTTCATACACTCTCTTCTACTACTGGCCGTGTTTGCTCGTTTTCGCAGGATACAAATCATACCCAACTCAAAAAGCTTCGAGATGGAAAGATGGACTGAAGAACGTCGACATAGTCTACGCCGGCATGCCTCCGCAGTAGCCGCTGCCAAAGCTAATGGTCTCAAAGACACCACCGAGATCCCCGAAGAAGACGTCGGCTAGAGGCCTGTCATTCTTGGAAATCCATCAGAGAAATTCCGCCGAATGAATATTCTTGAGCTGGGTTCCTTGACTCGCTGGAGCGAAATTCGCAAGAAGAACCGATTGATCGACAAAGGCATGCATCTCAATCGACAGACAGTCGACTTAGCACGGGATGAAATCGACCGGAGGCGCCACGAATTTATAGGTGACGTCCACCGGGGCGCAGAAGTCGTTGGGGACCTCGTCCGCAAAGTAAGCAAGAGGAGCAAGCGTAGCCACGACAGCGATCACGATAACGCTTCCCGAGATGATCCCGATGACATGGGTCCACTAGGTCCACCAGGGGCCGGACTTGAACATGAGCATTCCTCGTTACCCCGTGAGGTTTATGCCGAGCGCGAATGCGTCATGGGCCAGGCCGTGCCAGAGGAAGTGGAGGTTTCATCGATGGACGACGCATCGGACGACGACTCGGACGACGAACATGAATGGATACCAATGGAAGATCATTCATCTCATATGACCTCCAAGGTTCAGCCATATACTGACTTCAAAAGACAAAATTTGCGAGGCGGCGAACCTAACACGGGGGATTACGTGATCAACATGGATACCATCCAGGGTGAACACACCTCGCATAGTGAATCAAAGGTCAAGCCTGCTGAGCTAGACGGTTCAGAGCAACACGGGGTAGGCAAAGGTAAGGCCAAGTCAGTAGACACGGAACTCGAAAGGCTAACCCGAGAGCACGGCGCTCATATGTATCAGAGCAAGATTAAATCCGCAAGTACGGAATTCGAGGATGCTGACTCGAGCGGGAAATCTAACCGCAGAGGTTCGAAAGTAACGAAGCAAGATTAAAGAGGAGCTCAAGCAGGAGTTGGAGGTTATTAATCCCAAGACCGAATTTGAGAATGGTACTTCAAAGCCTATATTGGTATTATGAGAATAATTAGATCTTCAATCTTGAACCTATTATCACCTAAGTAAGTGTTTGCTAAGTGTTGGGCATTGAGAAATATAAATTGAATATTATAAATTGAGTAATTCCTCGGGTCGCCCCGATAACTAGCATCATGGGGCTAGATACATATATATTCGTATGCAATTATAGCCAGGTCTGAAAGAAAGGAGACCACCTGCAACTTCCTGACATTGTACGAATGGACGTAAAGAAAGGTTAGGTACCTAAGGTAAGCAAGACAGTAAGCAAGACATAATTGGTTCTTCGGACATAATGATAAGCCTTACGACTTTACCGCAATTGCTAGATTGAGTCTAGGTACCTAACTACTTGCTACCGACGCCGCAAGTCAATTTTTATTTTTTATTCACATTTCGTCATCCGCGCCCAACCAACCAAGCGATGCTAGCAACCGCGCCATTATGAAGCTCTACGCTATCGGAGATCTCCACCTGAGCTACGAGTTCAACAGGAAAGCCCTCCAGGAACTAAAACCGCACCCGGACGACGGTCTGATATTATGCGGTGACGTAGGTGAGACGGCCGAGCACCTGGAGCTGGCCTTCTCAGCGGGCAAACGTAATTTCAAAGAGGTCTTCTGGTGTCCCGGCAACCATGAGCTGTACTCGATGCAGTCGTCAAGACCAGACTTGCGCGGCGAGAGCAAGTACGAGTACTGCGTAGAAATAGCGCGCAAGCACGGCGTGCACACGCCCGAAGACGACTTCGTGCGCTGGGAGGGCGAGGGCGGACCCGCTGTTATCGCGCCCATCTTCACGCTGTACGACTACAGCTTCCGTCCTGCAGACGTCAGTCGCGAGAAGGCGCTGCGCTGGGCGGAGGAGATGGATACGGTCGCCACGGACGAGTTCCTGCTGCACCCGGATCCGCACGCGACGCGGGACGACTGGTGCCGCGTGCTAGTGCAGAAATTCGAGGAGAAGCTGACGCGCGCGGTGGCGGAGCATCCGGACGCCAAGCTCGTCATCGCGAACCACTGGCCGCTGCGCGAGGACCTCGTGTATATACCGCGGGTGCCGCGGTTCAGCCTCTGGTGCGGGACGAAGGCGACAGAGGACTGGCATACGCGGTTCCCGGCTAAGGTGGTGGTGTCGGGGCACTTGCACGTGCCGCGCACGGACTGGAAGAAGGGGGTCAGGTTTGAGGAGTGCAGCTTGGGGTATCCGAAGCAGTGGGGCGATGTGCATGCGAGTGGGAAGGATATCAATGATGTTTTGCGCGAGATCTTGCCGGGGCCGGAGGAGCCGCTTGGTGGAGAGGCGGAGATGAGGTGGCGGAGGTGGGTTTGATGGATGGGGACGGGGAGGGTTGTATGGGGGTATGAGATATGAGGTATGAGGTATGAGGTATGAGGTATGAGGTATGAGGGATTACATCGTGTCGGGGTATAGAGGGCATTATACGGTCCGTACATTGTTTGTCTATTTTAGATTCCCGGTTACCTGAGTGTAGAGTCTTAGATGGATCTGCTAGCATTGGTGTCTACTGCAAAAGGGGCTAACTAATGTGGGATCATGATAGTGAGAGTGATTTATTAAATGCCTATGTAGACAACCTTGGAAGAGATATCTGTAAATACACTGGGTTTTACACATATGCTTCACCCTCGCCTTCATCATCATCATAATCATAATCATCATCATCATCATCATCATCTTCTTCTTCTTCTTCTTCCGGAAGAAGCATCTGCTCAATCTCCATATGCCCATTCTCCCTGGCGCAATCAGCCGGACGCAACCCATATCGGTCCCTAGTTCTCAGTACATTTTTCCCGCCGCTGTTTAGTAGTATTGCCACTATTTCTTTATCTCCCGCTGTCGCAGCACTATGTAACGCAGTTCCTCCATACGAGTAGTAGCCTTTAGAGCGGCTTACATCAGCCCCCTTTTGAACAAGCAATTGCACCATCTTTATGTCTTTCTTATCGACTGCAATATGCAGTGACCAGTGAAAGAGCCGGCGTTGAAAACGGTACTTGGGCGTGCATAAAAATCAACAGTGCGGAGGCTCCGAAGACAATCTTTGCGATGAGCTAGTTAGTAAACTCCTTGACAATAAGACGGGGTGTTATAATACCTTTTCGTTCTTCATCCTCGTCGATGCATGGGATAGTCTCCATCCTCTCCTCAATGTAGCTCAACGGAGGTGAAAAGAGACGAGGTTGAGTGGTAAAGAATAAAGATAGCATCATTCTCTTGACTTGAAAACCTCTCCTTTAAGTTAAGGAGCTCTGAAATGAACGGGTAAAGCTTAGAGCGAAGCGTATCGAGTCCGTCGATGATTAGATATTTACGTAGTTTAGATACTTCCAGCAAAGCATGATAGAGCACCTCAAATAGTCTACTCAAAATCCAAAGCTCTTGTCCCATAGTAGCCGGAGGGGGCATGGTAAGTTGTGAAAGTGGAAAGCTTTCCATTACCCGCCTAATAATCCGAGAATCAGGTTCAAGCTCATTCAGGAGACAGATTAATATTCGCGTTGCTCTGAGGGATAACTCTTGTGGTCTCTGCCCTGGACCGAACCCTAGTGATATTTTACATGGTAAATCTAGACGATGAAGAAGAGCTAAAAGAAGTAGTGGAATTTCTGAGCTATCATTATAAGAATAGGACCGATGTTCCTTCTCATGAAGTTGATACGACAACTCCTCGTATCAACTTTTCTGCTAATTTCCCGACTTGGTAAGTTGAAAATCATACTGCGTTATTCTCGTGCTGGTCGATTCTTGTGTTGATTAATAGCAGGACACTTAAGAGGCCCGGATGGAAAAGGGATTGGCATATTGGGATCCGCGAGTCCAAGTCTCGAAAGTTACTCGCTTGCATATTTGCAATTCCAGGCGTGTTGCGGATACGTGATAAGAGTATCAAAGCAGCCGAGGTCAGCTTCCTCTGCATTCATACAAAGTTTCGCTGTAGACGCCTGGCGCCCGCTCTTATCAAGGAACTCTCGCGCCGATGCTCCCGTGACGGAGTCTATCAAGCACTGTATGCTACAGAGACCTTTCTGCCTACACCCATCAGCACAGGCCAGTATTTATTTCGAGTGTTGAGTCAGGAATTTTCGAAAATTGAGTCAAGTTATCGGTTCTCACCTTTTACCTTTTCAACTACAATACACTGGCCATTGCTGGTGGCATTGGTACCTTTTTTAATGTACCAATTATACCTGCCTCGCCTTCGTTCTACATATAACTGAGGCAGGTTTAACTTTAAAGGGGTATATCATTGGGTGGATATCTCTTGAAGACCCAAACAGGCACCTATAAACTAATGTCGTTTGCTACCAACTATTCACTCTCCATAATAGGAGGTAGTTAACGTATCAAAAAGCAACACATAAGCGATTCCCCATTAGAATTATATAACTACCTAACCTATATGATCAACTTTCAAATAAAACCACTTCCGGTACCAAATCACTTAAATACGGGTGGTAACTACCGGTACCTACCTAACAACGCTAGTTTCCAAGCCCCTGTTCGGGTATTCGCGGGACTTGACCTATAACTTGGCAGCTACTATGTATCAAACTTGCCCCTGAAAATAAATAAAACCCGCCAAAACTTCCAAGGTTCCATCTTGCTCCTATACAAATTCCTCAAAACACTCTAACCCTACCTTAGGTAACCTTCACAATGGCGGATATTGTCAATTCTACGATCAGCGAAAGCCCAGAAACGCCTCTACACCCCTACTATCCTCTTGGTGTTGTGATCGCGGACTACGCTGCCAAGACCCTCTCGACGCAGGAGATTTTGGGCATCTTCACGGCAACATGCATCTGCATCCTCGGTCCGACGTGGTTCTACCTGCGGCACGCCCGGCCTAACTTACCGCTCAGCGACGTCTTCACAACGCTGTGGTTCGTCCTGTGCGGCTTCATCCACCTCGGCTTAGAAGGTAGACCGACCGACCCTTACTTAAATCCAACGTACAACTCGTAGATCATATACTAATATACTAATATAACCTAGGTTACTTCGCGCTACACGCGCGCGACATAGCCAGCCGCTCAGCCGTGCTCGCGCAGCTCTGGAAGGAATACTCCCTCTCGGACTCGCGGTACCTAACAGCAGACACCTTCGTAGTATGCATGGAGACAGTAACAGCCGTGTTCTGGGGCCCGCTATCGTTCGCGATCGCGTGGTGCATCGCAACCGAGCACCCGCTGCGCCACCCGCTGCAGTCCATCGTCAGCCTGGGCCAGCTATACGGCGACGTGCTGTACTACGGCACCTGCACGATCGAGTTCATCGAGTTCGGACGCGAGTACTCGCGCCCCGAGCTCGCGTACTTCTGGGGGTACTACGTTTTTCTCAATGCGTTCTGGATCGTGATTCCGCTGTGTCTGGTTGTGAGTAGCGCGCGTGAGACGGCGAGGGCTTTTGCGGAAGTCAAGGGGAGCTTGAAGGCCGAGAAGACGAAGTAAGGATTGGGGATGCTGTACGTATCGATGTATGGTTGTGGCTGTGGGAGTAAACAGCTTAGTAGTGTATAGCGTATAGCTGAGAGAGCCTGTTTCTTTATTCTTGAACCTTTTTGGTACGACTTTACGGGACACTAAATATTATATACCTCTTAGTATTAATACTACGTCATTTTGAAACCCATCAATTGCTACATGTAGGCTAGTACCTTGAAGAAAAGAGGCTGAAATCTGTAGTAGCATTGCGCTAATCTCACGACTAAAACATAAGGTAGTCTTAGGTACCTAGCTACAGCCAATTAAATAACACTAAATCCCATCTTTATATACTACGTCAGACCGGCAACTCGGAGTTTCTAATGTGGAGGTAAGGAGGTAAGGTGGAGGTTAGCTCTAGCTACGCTTATACATAGGTACTGAGTTAGAGTTCGCTAAACCCCTCATTAGTAGACATCGCGGTAACTACATCTACATTTACATCTGCATCTCATCACCACCATCCACAACCATCCACAACCATGGTCTACACAATAGTCGTGCACCTCCGCGCCAAGCCCGGCGCAGACAACATCGCCAAGTTGCACGCCAAGCTCAACGAGGCCTCCGCCATCTACTCCAAGGACCGGGAGACCATATCTTGGTTCGTCAGTAAGTACCTCCCTCCTCCCTCCCCCCTCCCCCCTCCCCTAAAACACACGCGTACGAATTTATATATTAAACACCACCAGTGCAATCGATCCACGACCCGCAAGAATTCACCATCGTGGAGCGCTTCGAGAACGAGGGGAGCCAGAAGTACCACCTGGAGAACCCGTACTGGAAGACCTTCGACCCGTTCGTGGTGCCTCTACTAGAGAAGCCCATGGATTTGCGACGGCACGAGGAGTTAGTTCCTAAGGCTGGCGAGGAGGCTTTGCTGGAATAGATGACTGAATGGTCATTTACTACCTAATGAAGCGGACTGGTTATTTATGGCTGCGCTATAGGTGGTTTTCATGTTTGCTTCACATGGGAGATAGAATGGGAGATAGATAGATCAGACATTGTCACGTATTCACATCTTATTTAAGTTAACATTATATCGCTTATATAGATAGCTCACTGAACGGGATAAACTCATAATAATAATTCCGCTCATGCATTCAAACTCATTCTCTGCCTATATCCAAGAAATACGTAGCCCGTTTATCACCTCCCAGAGTGCCCTTTAGGCATCTTCCTCTCCTCGAGCTCCTCTAAATCCTTCTTTTTATGGAAGTGTGGCGCGACCTCATTCAGCCAATGCGGTTTAATGGGCATGCAGCTGCGCATGTACTCTTTGTTGGTGAGCACCAACTCATAGTAGATTACCATCTTCTCCGGCGGATCTGACTTCATCAACACCGAGCTGGGGTGGATCCACACCGTTGTGTTATTCTTGACGGTTCGATAGCTGTCGCCGCTGCGCTGTAGCTTGGCTGCGTTCGGGAAGAAACCTGCGGTGAGAGCCTTTTTAATGGGCTCGATATTGGCCGAACCGCATGTAGACGGCGCTACTTCTACACGCTCGCAGAGCTTGGCAAGTTGATCGCGAACGTCCCGGGCACGGGTTAGAGAGCGCTGCTGTAGGAAATTCTCCCGCGACCAGATGGGAGAGAAGTCGCTATCGACCCACTGATTCCAGATATTAAGGAGCGTTAAATGATCGCCACCCTCCTTGACGGTGAAGCGGTTGCGGGCGCTGTCGGCATGTATCTTCTTGTCTTTCGGCCGGAAAAACAGGGCCGAAGCCTCGCTCAGCATTGATACAATTGACAAAACTTCGTCAACACATTTAAACTTGTCTGCGGCAAGAACAGCCTTCGCGAGCATTGGATCCGTAGGAAACTCGGCCATCTGCCTACCAACCTTGGTAAGCTCGCCTTTGTGGTTTAGGGCTTGTAGGGCGAAAAGTTGATTTAAAGCCCCAATTAAAGATTCGGTAGGGGGAGGATCCATGAATTCGAATTCGAGCAGTTGGTTAATGCCAAGCGACTTCAGTAATAGCACCACACTGTTCAGGTTGGTTCTTTGAATCTCCGGCGTGGTCGATTCATCCATTTCGTTCATGTAGGCATATCTAGTATACAGGCGAAAGCATTTGCCTGGGCCAACACGTCCGGCACGTCCACTACGCTGATTTGCAGAGGCTCGAGAACATGGTACAACGACGAGATTCGACATCCCTGTCGCTGGGTTATAGATGTTCTCCTTCACGTATCCCGGGTCAATGACGTATGTGATTCCGTCGATGGTCAAACTTGTCTCGGCGATATTGGTAGCAAGTACAACTTTACGAGCACCGTCCGGAGTGGGCTCGAAGATCTTGCTCTGGAGTTCTGAAGGCAGATTGGCATAGATGGGACAGACAATCAGTTCCTTTACTCGATTTCCAAGCTTCCTTGCGGTCTCTGTCAACTGTTGCTCTGCAGCTTCGATCTCATCTTGACCTGTCAAGAATACCAGAATGTCTCCTTTTCCTTGACTGGAATGAATTTGGAATATCGTTGTAATAGCAGCCGTTAAGTAGTTTGCTTCAGGTGCTGGGGTATAGTAGATGTCGACGGGGTACCTTCGTCCTGGAATGTTAAAGATCGGAGCGTCGTCGAAATACTGCGCAAACTTTTCGGCATTCATCGTAGCCGAAGAAATGAGCAGTTTCAGATCCGGTCGTTCCCTGGCTAAATCTTTCACTAAGGCAAGTAGAATATCGGTATGAACTGTCCGCTCGTGAGCCTCGTCAATCATCAAGGCCGAATAACCTGCAAGATCCGGCTCCGTCATGAATTCTCGAAGTAACATGCCATCAGTCATATACTTCAAAATAGTTTTATCGCTAGTAGCGTCTTCGAATCGAATGGAGTAACCGACTTCGTTGCCGACTTTGACTCCCATTTCTTCCGCGACTCGAGCTGCCACACTCATAGCAGCAACTCTTCGAGGTTGTGTACAACCTACTTTGAGACCACCTTTCGTATAACCGGCCTCGTGTAAATACTGAGGTAGTTGCGTAGTCTTTCCACTGCCCGTCTCACCAACAATGACTAAGATCTGGTGTTGCTCGAGAGCAGCAATAAATTCGTCTCGGTATTTGTATATTGGCAAGCTCTTTCGAGTTTCTTCGATCGATAATGCTTTCTTCTCCGCAGCTTCGATTTGCGCTTCCAAAAACCTCTGTTCTTTAGTTAATGTCTTCCCCTCCCCAGCTAATGTCGAGCCCATATTCCACTGAATGTACTGCTCGGGATCAAGAACAGGAGCATAATCTCCTTCGTACTCTCTTTCCGCCCTGTTAATCTGAGCCTTTGCCTTTTGTGTCTGCTCCCTTTCCCACTCCTCGTGTTCGGTAACAAACTTCTCCTGGCCGTATTCATCTCTTTCGACGTATCGTTTATATAGCGCCTCCTCTTTCCGTTTCCTGTCTATCTTGCCCTTCTCCGTGATATAATCTTCAGGCATATAATAACCATCACGATGGTCATCGATCCGCAATCGCTCTTCGGCTAATCGTAAAATTTCTCGGTTCTTCGCGAACTCGGCCTTTTCTCGCTCGGATAACCGTACACCACTGTTTAGTTCTGCTGTCTCCTCTGCGACTTGTTTCCGTAGTAATGCTAATCTTTCTGCCTCCCTCTTCTTTAGATAATCCTGTCTTGAGCGCTCCCGTAAATCTGGCATAGCAGCCCTGCTCGCAGAAAGTTCTTCGGCTAGACGCTGTCTTTCCCTTTCGGCCTTGCCTTCGCTCTTTGATTTGCCCCCATCTCGCTCCTTGAGACGCTTGGCGAAGGCTTCTCGCTCGGCAATGTCGCGCGCAGTATCGGAATCGGCACCGTCATCCTCTCCCTCCCGTTCATCATGACTTAACTTGACGCGCTTGGGGGCGGATTCTTTGAAATCGGGCTCTTCGTCGCGTCCGTCGTCCGAAGGTTCAGGCTCACTCCCTGGCTCCTCATCGCCCCATCTGTCATCAAAGTCATCCTCCGCGCGTTTTCGGATGGATTTCGTTTTTTGTCTATGCGAATCGCCACGTGGCGAACGACTGCGGCTACGACTCCGACTCTGAGTACGATGCGACTTGCGACGTGAATCACGATGAGAACTAGATTTTCCATTTTCGTCGCGACGCCTATGTTTGGACTTCTTCTCGACCTTTTGAGGGCCCACTTCACCCTCGTCCATAGGGATGAAGGCGTATCGTTTGTTGCTCATGACTGGTCTTCGAGGTTATGATAGTAGGCACCTAGATTAGGAGAACTTATATGGCGGCGGTGCTACTAATGAGCATGCGAATCCCGGCTAACGTTCCAGGACCAGAAGACGAGGCTCGCTCACATATGGCTGACACCGGGGCGTAGGTAGGGGGTAACAAAACTATTCGGGATTGTTTCGGAGAGGTTGGAGAATTAGTGCTGGAGATATGAGCAAGAAATGATAAACGTGCTAACCTAGGTAGGTATATGATGTAGTTGGAAGCTTGCCATAGTTGCCTTGTATTTTTTCCGGATTACGGATTACATCCTTTAGAGTCACTACGTACGAGATGACAGCCAATCACAGCTTCAATTATTGCCAAGCTAAACCCGCTTTTTAAAGTTGCAGGGCTTATCTTATCAAAGCGGGTTGAACACCTAGCTTAGAAATTCTTACCACGTTGACACGCTGGTATTTTTCAAGGGTAGACGGTTTATTTTATTAGTAGTATTCCGTATCTAACTTAGAGCTACGTCTCTGCATTTATTATTCTACTTGGGTACCTCTTACAACTTATACCTCATAACCCCAAGACACCACGTTGGCCAATTCCCATGTTGACTCTCTCTTCAATATCCATGGGAGAATTATCCTTCGGTGTTTTTCATACATAAAGCTTCCCGTACTTAATATTCTTTCTTGTTGGGTTTGATATACGATACCTATTTTCTTTGCAGTACTTAGCGGGCTTTCGCAAGCCGCCATTCGCTTGGTATGATGCTATTCCAGTGGGCAACCATTGGGTTGCTCTTTATTCTGGCGCAGCTCGCCTTTTGCGCTGAAGATTTCTATAAAGTACGTCCCTTTGAAGTTGTCTAGTAATTCAGTATTAACATGTAGTCATGATCAGATTCTTGGGGTAGACCGTCAGGCGACAGATAAGCAGATCAAGACGGCGTATCGACAATTAAGCAAAAAATACCACCCGGACAAGAACCCGTAAGTCAACGTACTATCTAAGCAAATAGTGATATAAATTAGTAGCTTATGCGATATCTAGAGGTGACTCTACAGCTGAAGACAAATTCGTCGAGGTCGCCGAGGCCTACGAGGCTCTAATCGACCCGGAGTCCCGAAAGATCTACGACCAGTACGGACATGACGGTCTGAAGCAGCGCAGTCAGGGGGGCGGACACCACCACGACCCGTTTGACTTATTCAGCCGATTCTTCGGTGGGGGTGGTCATTACCAGAGGGGACAGCCGCGTGGGCACAACATCGAGATCAAGGTCGGGATTTCCCTACGCGACTTCTACAACGGCCGGGATACGGAATTCCAGTGGGAAAAACAGCAGATTTGCGAGGAATGCGACGGGACGGGATCCCAAGACGGTGTTGTAGACACGTGTCATCACTGCGGCGGCCACGGTGTGCGCATTATCAAGCACCAGCTAGCACCAGGCATGTTCCAGCAGATTCAGACCACTTGCGATGCTTGCGGCGGCCGCGGTAAGACAATCAAGCATAAGTGCCCGGTCTGCGGCGGTAACAGAGTTATCCGCAAGCCTACTACCGTCTCGCTTAAGATTGAGCCAGGTACTGCCCGAGATGCTAGGATTGTATACGAAAACGAAGCCGATGCGAGCCCTGATTGGGTTGCTGGTGACCTCGTCGTCACACTCACCGAAAAGGAGCCCGATTTTGAGAACGATAACCCTGATCATGTGGATGGTACTTTCTTCCGGCGCAAAGGCAACGATCTTTTCTGGCAAGAAGTCTTATCTCTTCGGGAAGCCTGGATGGGCGAGTGGACCCGTAACTTAACGCATCTGGATGGCCACGTTGTGAGGTTAAGCCGGAAGCGCGGCGAGATCGTGCAGCCTGGCCAAGTTGAAACCGTGGAAGGTGAAGGGATGCCTATATGGAATGAGGACGGGGATTCGGTATACCACCAAACCCAATTCGGCAAGCTATATGTCGAGTATGTCGTAATCCTACCGGACCAGATGGAGTCCGGGATGGAAAAGGACTTCTGGTCCGTGTTCCAGAAATGGAGAGGCAAGGTCGGTGTAGACCTACAAAAAGATAGCGGCAGACCGGAAGGCGCCATACCTATAAAGGAAGAAAAGGACGAGCTGTAATGATACCTATAGAATATAGAGATGAAACATGTGAAAATATTGCACACATTGCACACATATAAGACGATAATGTGCTTACAGTCTCTGCACTGTGTGTGCGTGATCGATGAGTGCTCCAACTAACCAATCGAGTTGGAGATATTTCTTGTCGTATACGAAGCGAATATATTGTCTCACGGTGCGGCTGTTAAATAGGGGATAGGGTTACGTTAAATCGGGGTTACGCTTCCCCGGCCATATAAATAGTCGCCAACCCCAGGGGCCTACCCAGCTAGAATTCTTACTTCCTTTTTTATTTTTCCCCTCCCCCTTACTCTAGGTATAGCTTCCCCTGAAGAGTGACCCATCCCACCATGTCCCTCTCCAGGCGCACACTCGACGCCTTCTTGGGTCTCCTCTTCCCCTGGAACTTCTTACTAGTATCGGCAACGTGTCTTCCCAAGACCATACTCAGGCTCCTGCGCGAGCGCAAGTTCGCCGAACTGCTATCCCCCTCCAGATTAAAGGAAGCTTGGTTCAGCGATTTCTGGGGGGGCATCGCAGGGCCGAATATCAGGCGTGATGCCGCCGTGCGTATTATCCCGCTGCTGCAGGGCCGAGCTACGAAAGGGGCTGTGGTCGACGAACAGGTTGCCCCTGGGCTCGCTGGCACGGTCATCGAGGTCGGCGCCGGCTCTGGGCTCTGGGTCGATATGTACAGGGACATCGCCCAAGTGCGCGCAGAACCTGACGGCGCGGCTAGGCGGCGGAAAGTCGGTAGTACCGCTGCTGTCGACGGGCCTATCACGCGCGTATACGGCATAGAGCCGAACGTGAACCAGCACCCGGCGCTGCGACGGGCAATCGCCAAGGCCGGGCTCGAAGACGTATACCGGATCGTGCCGGTAGGAATCGAGGACCTAGACGACGCGACGAAATGGGACGGAGTCGTGGAGAAGGGCAGCGTGGACTGCATCGTGAGTATCCTGTGCCTGTGCAGCATCCCCGACCCAGAGAAGAATATCCGCGAGCTGTACCAGTACCTCAAGAAAGGAGGACGATGGTACATATACGAGCACGTGCGGTGCGAGAACAGCTGGTACATGAAGGCGTATCAACGTGAGTGTTTCCCTTCACTTCCCTTCCCTACCCACCTGCTAGATATAGCAAGCGCCGTACTAATCATCGGTGATCCACACAGGCTTGCTCAACGTGTTCTGGCCGCACTTCATCGGCGGGTGTCTGCTCTGCCGACAGACGGAGCAGACGCTGCGGGAGGCAGGGTCCTGGGAGAAGATCGACGTCGCTCAGCCCGTGACCGAGCCGTGGTATCAAGTTGTCCCACATAGATTAGGCGTTTTTACGAAGTAAATATATATATATATATATACTATAGAATAGGGAGAAATGGGCTGGACTGGTCTCAATTGGAACAACTACTCTCTTTAAACCATGATATCCTAGAGCGGTGCTGGGTAATAATACGTATAGGACCATCCGCGTTTAGACTAGAACGATATGATTTTAGATAGATACTCTCATTGAAACTACATTATAGTAAAAAAGACCATAGATATCTAATTGCCTGTGAAGTCAAGGTTGATACATGTGCAACTTAGATAGCTTCGTTTATCTATCGGAAAGGAGGACATCTGCTCGAGTGGTGTATGAGGTATTTATTTTATTGGGGTACAATCTTGTAACGCTATGTTAGTTTTCGTATGTTTTTTTTCATGCTCGTCAATCTTACTATTACTTGCTTCATATTTCCCTCTTAGCTACCTACACATAATAGTCGAAATCAATTACAGTTCACAAGAAAGTGTCATAATAGAGATAATTATATGTTCATTTTCCATCTGGAACGTCATGTTACTAAGGAGATATCTCTAATTTACAATTAAAGTGTCGTAACATTTATTGTTCATTCCATCATTACCAACCCAAAAAGCTCTTATAATCCCCTATGTGTCTCCTGATGTGTCCCCGCACTATTCCGGTGGTGATGTGCGTGGCCTCCATCATGTTCGACCACCGGCTCCCCGATGTGGGCACGTAGGGTAGAGGGGGGTACCTGAGCAGCGTCTGTGGGATCCTTGGCATAATTTCCACTTCCAACAACCATTAATAAATTTTATCCAAAATACGGAGTAGCAAGCCGAAAGGCGACAGTAGCGTACTTACGACTGGTAAGTCTTGTTGCCGCCGACGGTTCGAGAGTGGTCGAGGTCGCTATCGACTCTGGGGTCAAGCTTGTTGGCAATGTTGCTGCTGTGGGGGCCAGCGGTGTCGGGGGCAGGACCTGGACCAGAGTGGGCAGAGTGAGCTCCAGCCGCACCGTGGGTTCCAGTCGTGCCGTGGGTTCCGGTCGTACCGTAGGCCCCGGTCGTACCATGAGTACCGGTAGTACCATGAGTGCCAGTTGTGCCCTGAGTACCACTTAAACCGTGAGTTCCGGTCGTGTTGTAGGTGTCAGAAGGGCCACGAGTACCAGTAGTACCGTGATTTCCGGTTAGACCATGGGTACCGGTAGAAGAATGATTACCGCCTGCACCATGGTTACCAGCACCTTGTCCGTAGTTACCCGTGGTGCCGGTTGTACCGGTAGTAGAATCGTAACCGTGAGTGCCGGTAGTAGAGCCGTATCCAGCGCCAGCACCGGTGCCAGTGCTACCAAGGGTGTTACCCGTGGTGCCGGAAGGAGTATACCCTGCGCCAGTAGTTCCGGCAGTGCCAGAGCTTCCGTATGTGTTACCAGCAGTGCGAGAACCGTCTCGGTCCGAATCGACACGAGGATCAGCAGTGTTGGCTAGTCGAGAATTGTGGGGTCCAGTGACTCCTTCTCGGCCGCTGCCACCATAGTCGCCGGCGGTGTTGCCCGCAAAGCGGCCGTCTCGGTCTGAGTCAATTCGTGGGTCGGCAGCATTAGCTACACGAGAGTTGTGAGGTCCAGAAACACCTTCTCGGTGAGCACCGGTTGTGGTGGTGCCAGTGCTGCCATGACTGTAGTTGTCTCCAGAGGTGTATGCGTTAGAGCCACCAACGGTAGAGTTGGGCGCGGCACGGTTGTCACCTAGAACGAATGTTAGTGGCCTTTGATACGACAGCATCATGGGAATACGACTACATACGATCACTGTCGACTCTTGGGTCTGCGGCGTTGGCTGCTCGGTTGCCGTGGGGCCCGTTGGTACCCTCGGGGGCGCTGTTCTGACTGGTGTTGTTACTAGTGGAAGAAGAGTGGTGGCCAGTGACGGCTTCCTTAACCTTGTTAATTACACTAGACATATTGGATATTTGTAGAAATAGCTGGTAAATATAGATAGAGTAGTAAAGGGTATCAAGATTATCTTTTAACTTTTAGATAATAAGTAGTTGTTTGTTGGATGTTGTTATTGATGATAATGAAAAGAAAATTGTTGTAGAGATCTGGGATTGTCGACTTCTTATACTGATACGAAGGCAGCCTCGACATATATCCTCACCCTTTATTTCCAAGGCAGTCTCTTAATTGCCGCCATATTTCATCATCTGGAATCTCGATCAAGTATCGTAGCCTCTGTGTCCTAGATTACGCCTAAAGGCCAGACTTGTCCAATCAATACGAGATACGAAGCTACAAGACGATGTGAAAGTATCTCTGACTTCATCAATCGTCATCGCCCCTGATTGGGGATGCATGATCCTTGAAAGACGCCGTTGCTAAGCCTTCCCGCATCTATGCCGGACAAACCAAATCCGGAGGCTCATAAGAATGTCATAAGTAAAGTCTAGTGCCAGGTACTGTATCAAGCCTAGAGCTAGTGATACAGATCTTCACGCTTACCCCGTAACCCCTAGCCTTACTGGCCAGAAGGACGTCAAAAAGGTGGCGCACCTACCAGGATAATTGTTAGTAAAGGTGCGCCAGCTTTTTTCACGCTTTTCTGCTGGCTATCTCAGCTGCTTCGGCAAGTAGTGTGGCTTGCCCGCTGGCGTCATAGTAAACGTCCATATGATGTGGCGGTCATTTTCACAGATGCTACTGGTGGACAAGGAAATGACGATATGTGGGGGATTCATGTAGGGTACACTCTTTGGACAAAGCCAGATCCTTCACCTCTGAATGGGGTCTATTTTGTCGAGCGTGCGTAGCCCCTTACACTAGCATCCAAATTAAGGAAGATCCCGACGGGCCCGACCATCTTAGTGGTTTAGATTTGGGTCTTTGGTGTCCTTGCTCCAGTATGAAGTATATCTTGAATCATGTTGCCGACATCCGAGAGATCTTGTTATGTACAGGTCACTAGGATGTTCAATGTTATTTAGTGGAAATGTTACTTAAAACAGTTAATAAATATTGTATTGCTTTATTTATATAGCAAAATACAAATACGTTCGAAGATTCTAGCTTAACCTTTACTTAAATAGGTAATTTTAAATGGCAAAAGCCTTTTTAAAATAACAAAATATGTTTATAACTATACCTTGCCATAATATTTCGAATATCTTAATACATTGCTCTTTTAAGTAACATCTCCACCAAATAACATTGAACATCCTAGCGACTTGTAGAAGAAAGACTTGTTAGGGATTAAAGCCGTGGCTAGTGAGATCAAAGAAGTGTAAGATGTGGCGTCACCTTAGCCAATCCGCCACAAGGTCTCGACCCCCAACCCCTGTCGACTCCACTAAACACCGTCATAGACTTCCCCGTTACCAACTTCTCAACTTCTAGACTTCTAGAGACACCCTCTTTATGAGATCCCATCCAGTAGACAGGTAGAATGCCATATCCGTTTCATCTGCAGATAATTGCGGCATTTATCCATCATAAAATAGTGTCTATGCAAAATATCCGCTGATGAGTATAGACTATCTCTCATATAACTTACATCGGTATGATGTCAGTATCTCATTACGCATTGAAGGCATGAGGTTGTGACTGGCCAGCTGGCTTGGCAGAAACAATACACGATGTGACCCATCGATATGCTCAAGGTAGATCAGGGCCTATCTTCGTCTGAGGATTAGCACTTGGAATCATCTTAGACCATACCGTAGCAGTGTGTGATCCGTAGCCTGTTGCTATTTACGAGGAAGAGGTATCATTTACTCCACCAACCTACGAGATACTTCGCATCTAGTCGCATGGAAATTTCAATGGAAAATATCAAGATTATTGTTTCATTACTAATTGGGTATCTTTCTTGGGTATCTTTCATGGTGCTATTGCGTGCTCCAGCTCAATATCATTAAAGATCGTTAACCACAAGCAGTATCCTAAAAACATCCGATAATGCTAACCAGAAGCCTCATTCTCATAAAATCGGTAATTAAACTATAAAAAAAAAATCCAGGATTTTAGACTAAACCATGCGCCAGGGTGACTAGAAAAGGACTCGGTGTAATGTCTCTCGAATCAGAAATGTAACGCGTCTTATAGAGTAGGCGATATAGGGTCCTGCCTTTATTTCGAGTATATCTTAGACGCGGGAACCACGCCATCTTCGTCGACGGTAAGCTCGAGCCTCGTGATCTCGGACCCAGACGATACCGACGATTGCTGAGACGAGCCAGCAAATAGCAGACAAGAAGGAGAATGCGATGATAGCTTTCCATTTTCCGCACTGATCACCGCGGCGGAAGGAAACATTATCCCAGTCGAAGACGTATCCGCAGCCGCCATCGAGATACTGCTCGAATGATTAGAACCACGTCCTCCATAGCGATCATGTAGGGTGACTTACATTAACTAGCAGACCGAAGGCAACGAACCAACAAATAGAAATGAGAAGGTCGACAGGCCAGTGAACGAAGCTACCGGCGAACGGGAAGAGCCAGACGATGGAAAGGAAAATGGCGAGACCAGCTACCACTTCGGTGTAGATGAAACGGCCCTGGTCCCAACTGTCGGTATTTTTGACGGCATGGAGATACTGCCCGTTGATTCCAGCGACAATAGCTCCAAACGCCAACTCCGCAAGGCGGAGGATCATGGAGAAGATGTCTGCCAAGATCATCTTGATTGTATGTAGACGACGATGCCTTATTAGAAACCGGCTTGTAGGCACTTATGGGAAGATAGGATGCTCAGCCAATGATTTATGGTGATTATATTCTAAATGAAGAGAGGCCAAGTGAGACACTTGTTAGGCAGCTAGGTTAATCAGGTATTTATTTACATGGCATTTTGAGCTGTTCGATCTGAGCCACGACTTGGGCTGCTAGCGTATGACGACGCAACCTGAGTTGTCTAGGCCGGCATCATGGTATCTTTGGGTTGGAGACCCTGTTCTGCCTGTCCCGAACAAAGGCAATACTACCTTGGCTCGTGGCTCGTGGAATTAAATGTTTACAACCAGCAAATGCACACGCAAGACACGACGAAATGTTTGATCCTTGTTGCGGATCGGTCAATCACCCCAGAATCTGTAATAAGAACATGGCTTCAACCTTGTTGGGTTTGCTAAGAACCAATACAGTGAATAAAGTAAATGTCATGTGGCTTGGGGATTCAATCCGGTTCTTTCGAGAATTGCGTGGAAAGTTGTGGTCAAGCAAATCACCAGTTGTGTGCCGCGTGTTGCGTTGTCAAGAAGATGAGGTCATACAAGTAAATTGGTGTCCCTGAATACATTAGGTACCTATACGCTGACATAATCGGTAAGGCTCAGCCACAAGTAAAAGGCGAAGCCCCGCGTTGACGCGGCCAAGCAGCCACGGAAGCAGCAAAAGGTTAGGTATTTGGTAACAGATTTTATTCTATTACATTTTATATGCCGGACAGACATTTGTCTGACAAAACTCCTCTAGGCTCAGGTAAGGATTGATCCGAGATACTTCAAAACAGGGGGGCTTCCCACATGTTCTGAAAGTACTTTCAAACACCCCTAAAATCTATACCTTTTCTAGTAATTTTCAAGCCTCGAATAACCTCCTTATTGGCTCGGAAACTATCCTTAATCTTGCCCGTTTCCTTAATTATACTATACCCCACTTAGAGGTTTAGGTAGGCTTCTTGCTACTTATTCCTCCTGTATAAGACTACGTCCACTTGGTTGGTACTTGTGTCGCGGATAACCAGCTGCTCTCCATGCCTCAAGGCCAGTTAAAATCCGCTTTAGCCTGCTGTTGTTCGCCCAGTATTGGATGTGGAAAATCGCCGTTCGGAATATTTTAAACTGTTCCAAATCGATCAAGCCAAATACTGAAATTAATTTTATAATATAATAACGAGGACCATGGTTTTCTACTACGTCTCTCCACATAATGTAAATGTGTGCAAGGTATGGCATGGCGCCGACGATAAATACTATGTCCTGATCCCCAAGTATCGGCCAGGTCATATCTAAAGATATGCGGCCGCTAATAAAATATTGGTTCTCAGCTACTAAGATATGGCCCAGATGGCCATTTGATTCCATAATCAAGTACGGAAGGCAAACGGTACCACTCATCGCGCTTTTGAATGCCTTATAACTTGAGTTGTCTATATTATATACCCTTCAGGCAGGGATATATTCATTATTATATCTAAAGAGTATATCAGGCCTCGGGTTATGCAACGTACTGATCCCCGCTTGCGGTGGTAAGAGGGCATACTGGAACATCTGCCGACTGTAATATTTAAGTAAAGGAGAAGGAGAATCATCAAACCAGATTCGACGCCTGAGATCTAAAGCAGTAATAAGAGAGTCTAGTATCTCGCTATCGTATAGCGTTCTCATAGCAATGCCTACATATTCGGCATGTATGCTACGTATATGTCGCTTTTAGATTGGGATAATGATGATGATAACGTTTACGTTTATTGGTCTGCTATATTTACTTGCGTAATTATAGCGGCGTATTTTTGGCGTTTTAAACGTTTAAAGTATTCTTTTAAAAGGGAATAAAGCTAAAGTATTACCTGATATAAAAAATCGATAAAAAAAAGTATAATAGTTTTATAAAATATTATGGTTGTTTATAACCGGTAATTAATAAGGTTTAATTTTGTTTATTTTTAATAATAAAACTTATTTTAAGCTTTATTTTATGGTAAGTTTAATTATTGTTATTTTTAACGTAAAAGTTAATTTTTTAAAAAAACTATTCGAAATTTCGATATTTTATAAATTTAAACGTATATTTTAAAAATCTTTTTAATAGTTTTAATTTAAGTAATTTTTTTTATATTATTTTATATTTTATAAAATGTTTTTTATTTATATTTTTATTATATTAATATAATTTATTGCGTTTAAAGTATTTAAATTTTACGTAATAAGTTATAAAGTTTTTATAGTTATTTTATTTAATAATAA